ATAGAACCAGGGGTGGTATCTGTGTGGCCCCTTTAAATGTGGATGGTTCCCACAGCCTGTTAGCTCCACGTACTAAATCTGGCTGTAATGGTTATGGTGCTTGGAAAGTTCTGTTTTATGCAATTACTAGGGTGTGCTTGTGTTCCTATTGCTAATCATAATATTAATTCTCCACTGTTGTATAATATATAGAATTACATTTTAAACTTGTGCAAACCTGCTTTATTCAGCAGAGTTCTAATACTTCAAATATCTCAGTTAGAAGTTCCATACAGCACTGGTATTGTATAATATAATTTAACACATTTTGAAATAGTTAAACTCGGGCCTTTAAACTCCAAAATCATGTGTAAACCTTTTAATATATTTTTGTTTGTTTGTTTTTTCAAATCAATATATACTTTTGTTGTTGTTCCAGTACTGTTTTTGCACACTGCAGATAAATATATTCATTTGCATCTCTGCAGAGAGACTGAGCAAGGAGGCAGCCTCAATTCACTCTCACACATTGTACAAGAAGACGTCAGGTTACAAAAAAAAAGTGTCTCAATCCTCCTTTTCCTACAGAACTCCGCAATTATGGAATAACCTCAGGGACACAGTGAAATCTTCATTCAATCTAAAATCTTTTAAGAGATCTATGGCAACATACCTCAGCACAGAATGCACCTGTCATGGTTGAATATATTTATTACCTGTTATGTATTAAATTTATATATGTGTGTATGTGTATATATATTTATTGTTTGTATATTGTATTTTTGTAATATTGTATCCTATTGTAACAATGCAATGTTTAGGACATACTTGAAAACAGAGAAATCTCAATGCATCCATCCTGGTAAAATATTGTATAAATAAGTAAATAAAATATGTAGTTAATTAACAAATAAAAGAAAACAGAATGTGTAAATTCATATAACTGAAACATGTTGGGTATCATTAAAAGCAACCTATGCAGCATAATACTATTGTATGGTCCTTTTTTCCTGTTAGGTAAGTATCCCTTCTATGTTTAAAATAAATGTTAGGAATGCTGTAAATAAAGGATGTTATCATTTTATAAACAAAATGAGCAAGGTAGCTTTGGATTCAGTTAATGTTTGTACACCCTTTATGGGATTTCCAAATATTGCTATACTTAGGGCTACTTGCACTGAGACTGCAAATATGTATATTGTGCAAAAACAAAATCTTCATCTATTGTAATTGTCACATTATGTACTTACAAAGTCTGCCTTATCTGGTCAAATACTTTGTTATTATTATTATTATTATTATTATTATTATTATTATTATTATCTGTTAAAACTAATATATTCACTAAATAGTGGAGTCCAAATAGCTGTTGAGGCTGAAAATACCCCCTCATTGAGTATACTGTGTTACTTACTAAAGTGACAATTCACAGACATTTTCCATTTTATGGCCAAATTTAAAGTGGAAGAATTGCTGAGATAGACAATATTTCAAGTCCAGCTGTTTGTTTACTTTACGTTTGAAATTCACTTGGAATTATCTGTTTATTGAATTCGCATGTTAGACTTTGCTTATAGCTACTTTATAATGAATTATGCAATTCGATATTTAATTCAGCCCTGTGCACAGTTTAGTGTATATCCCCTCACATTCTCAATTCTACTGTTTAGCCCACATTTTAATATTTAGTTCCTCGGTATTCACTTTCTAAGGATTAAACCCAGCAGATATATAAAAAAAATGACAAATGTAAATTGAATTAATATTGGCTCGCAGATACCATGATGCATTTCTTTGCCTGATGGGAAAGAGTTAATATTGCTGGGATAATGTCAGATATCAGCTATGAGAGAGACATTAGATATGTAGATACATAGTGTCACATGGGCAATTAGCTTAACTTCAGCCCCTAGCTAAAAACGAACAGGTATTCATATAACAAAATGCTACTATTATACGATATATGTACCGATATTGCTACATATTTGCAAATTTGTATGTATGCATCTATTAATCTAATGATCCTGTACTTACTCCATCTGGTTATCTGCAATGATAATTCAAAACAAATTTTATATATATATATATATATATATATATATATATATATATATATATATATATATATATATATATATATATATATATATATACTGTATACACACAAACACACATATACACATATTCATACAATCATACAATCACATTTACCACCCCCCCCTAAAAAAGCATAAATGTGTGTGATGTTCAATTTCAATGTAATTTCAAATCCAAATATTAATATGAATAAATAAGTTCTGATTACTAGTAAAGCAAGCAATGTTTCAGTAGTTTTACAATATTTTATTTTAGAACACTAATGCCGGCTTTTTATTATTGTTATTTTACAAGTTTTGAAAATGTTATTAAATGCGAATGTAAACACAGCTTATTCCAATATTGTGAATAACATTTTTAGTTATATTTTTTTATTTTATTTTATTTAAACAAATAACGCTAAAGAAGTTACTGTATTTATTTTGATCACGGGCTTGGCTGTCTTGATAAAAATAAACTTTAACAACTTAGCGAAGAATGCTAAATAAATTATATTATTATTTATTGTGATAAAAATATACTGTTGATCAATTCAGTGCTGAAAGATTTCATTATTTACTACAACAAAAACGCTCACATCCATTTGCATCTATTGTTTTCTAAAATAAATTATATTTAATTATACTTAGATGTGTGTTGCAATATATATTTATATATAACAGCCTAGCGCCTTTAACTCAAACGAAAATTAAAAAGAAATTGGTGTATTTAATAACTATTTATAAATCGTACGAAATATCAATTGATGGCTCAATTTCAGGATCGAAGAAAAATCTCGTTACATTATTACAGCATGCAGAAATTGAGCCAGGAGAGATGAAAACAAAATATGCTACAAAATAATATATTTATTGTCTAATTAAAACTTCACAGATATTTACAGACAATCTTCCAACAGCAACACAGGACTGAGTCAAGGCGAATATTACGAAGTGTGAAGATGCCAAGTGTCAAAGGAGACATTATAACCAGATTAGAATGAAGTGTCTAAATGACATTTCATCAACACTAACACTACTGTATGTTCTGTCAAGTGATGGATGTTAGCAGCTCTGGGGAACTGGGCTACAAATTAAATAAAAATGCAAAACGAAAATAGCTTGTTAATAAATGCTGTTATTATAGTGAGATATATATATGTGTACTTTCTCTATATACAAATATGTTTAAACCTATATTAACACACTATGTTACAGTAAGAACATTTATACATTCTATATGTTAAGTAATGATTCAGAGATGTCAGACTGTGAGAGGGGAGTGCTCTGGCGCCGAGCTGGTTAACCCTCTATTGTATACAATATATAAATATATACATTGCTCCATATGTTCAATTTCAGTTTCCATTCGTGGAGCAGTAGTGCTTTGTACTGGGGGCATAGCGTTTACCTAGTTACTGAGTTTGGCTGCTCAGTCATTGGACAGCTGAGTGAGTGTCCCTCACACTGAGATAGTGGTGGGCAGAGAGGAAATATCCTTCTCTGTGAGACAATGGGGGCCTGGGGGTAGTCAGAGACTGTCTCTCACTGTGAGATTGGGGGGCAGGATGGGAGAGTGTCACTCACAGTGAGAATTGGGAAGCAGAATGTGATAATAACACTCACAGTGAGATTTGGGGTGCAGGATGGAAGATTTGGGAAGCAGTATGAGAGAGTGTCACTCACAGTGAGATTTGGGAAGCAGAATGTGATAATAACACTCACAGTGAGATTTGGGGTGCAGGATGGAAGATTTGGGAAGCAGTATGAGAGAGTGTCACTCACAGTGAGAGTTGGGAAGCAGAATGTGATAATAACACTCACAGTGAGATTTGGGGTGCAGGATGTCACAGTGAGATGTTTGGGGGGGCAGGATGTCTCAGTGAGATCTCGGGGAGCAGGATGTCACAGTGAGATGAGAGCAGGATGTAACAGTGAGATGTTAGGGAGTGTAGGATGTCTCATTGAGATGTTGGGGGGTCAGGATGTCGCAGTGAGATTTGAGGGAGTAGGATGTCACAGTGAGATGTTGGGAGCAGGATGTCACAGTGAGATGTTGGGGGGAGCATGATGTCACAGGAAGATGGGAGCAGGATGTACCAGTGAGATGTTAGGGAGTGTAGGATGTCTCATTGAGATGTTGGGGTGTCAGGATGTCACAGTGAGATTTGGGGGAGCAGGATGTCTCATTGAGATGTTGGGGGGGTCAGGATGTCACAGTGAGATGTTGGGAGCAGGATGTCACAGTGAGAATGTGGGACAGGATTTGAGAATAACACTCACAGTGACATGGGAGTGCAGGATGCCACAATGAGATGTTGGGGGGCAGGATGTCACAGTGAGATGTGGGGGGCAGGATGTCACAGTGAGAATTGGGGGAGTGCAGGATGTCACAGTGAGATTGGGGGACAGGAATGGGGAATGACACTCACAGTGAGATTTTGGGGGGCAGGATGTCACAGTTGAGATGTTGGGGGGGGCAGGATGTCACAGTGAGATGTGGGGGGCAGGATGTCACAGTGAGATTGGGGGACAGGATTTGAGAATGACACTCACAGTGAGATGTTGGGGGACAGGATTTGAGAATAACACTCACAGTGAGATGGGAGTGCAGGATGCCACAATGAGATGTTGGGGGGCAGGATGTCACAGTGAGATGTGGGGGGCAGGATGTCACAGTGAGAATTGGGGGAGTGCAGGATGTCACAGTGAGATTGGGGGACAGGATTTGAGAATGACACTCACAGTGAGATTTTGGGGGGCAGGATGTCACAGTGAGATGTTGGGGAGTGCAGGATGTCACAGTGAGAATTGAGGGCTCCAGGCAGGCAGACAGTACATATATGGGTAGTATTGATAGGCCTGGTACAGAGAGATTAGAGATGGGCTGATTACATCCTCCGGACAGTACTGTCTCTGATCATCCCTGACCAGCACCCGGACTGCCACTTTCTTGGCGGGGGCCTGGGGGGTCTTGGTGGCCTGTTGGGTGGCTATCAGCTTCCTCTTGGTCTTGTAGCGTCTGTTCTGGAACCAAATCTTGACCTGGGTCTCTGTGAGCTTGAGTGCAGCTGCCAAGTCAGCCCTCTCAGGTCCAGACAGGTATCTCTGGAGGGTAAACCTTCTCTCCAGCTCGTACACTTGGGCATGGGAGAAAGCCGCTCTAGATCTCTTCTTATTCGTTTTCTGGAGATCCTCAGTCCTGTCTCCAGATGCAGGATCTCTGAAGCTCCCTGAAAAAGAAATGACATTTTAAAATAAAGAAAGAAAATAACATATATCTTGGAACTAAACGCATAAAAGGACGTTTTCTGGCTACGAGTGATAGGAGTTGTAGACTAAGAGCTGTGGTGTGCATAAAACTATCTGGAACACATTCATTCTGTTGTATTTCTCATTTATAGTGGATGTATATTTTTTTATTCTCTATATTTTTTACTCAATTATAAATGTAACTGATTCACCGGATATAAATCTAGTTATTTTAAATCATCAGCTCTGATTCAGAATTTGGATTTCAGTCTATTTATTTCAAAAAAGCAAATAACACTTAAATTGCATATTTCATAACAATTATTAATTTCTTATTAAATTATATTGATATTACAAATGATTTACAATGGGAAAAAAAGCACTAGATTAGCAGATGGTTGAGGTAGAAAATGTCATTTTTTAACCAGAAAATATAAAAACTATTCTCAAATCCCTTTCCTATTAGTGTTTACAATATATTCATTATTAGTATTCATTCAGTAGCATTAGGGTCTATTCATAATGTCGTGAGATCAATGAATGATTGCATAGATAATTATGTCTTAGATATGTCTCATGTCTTTAATAGGTTAAAACGCCTCCACCCGGCACGCAATGTGTTAAACTGTAAAAAGTAAAATAAATGTTATTTAGAGTAATAAGTAAAAATAAATATTGATGAGAATTCCTCCCCAGTGTTGGTAACAGTGTAACCAGTACAGAACGCAATGTATCCATTCAGACAGTGTGATGATCAGTGACTTACCTTTGGTTAGTGACCCCTGTTCTCCATCCCAAGGTAGGTCCTCAGCCCCAGAATCAGGGGTGAGGGTCTCATGCTGTGGGCTCTGTGATGCTAGCAGTTCTCTGGGCGATTCTTGCATTGAGAAATCGTGGGTAGTGTCTGCCGGGCTGCCAGGCTCTGTATCCACTCCTGTGTGAGGAAGAGGTGTTTGCTGGAGGGCTGGGATTTTGGCAGGAGGTCCCCTTGCCCTTTCTGTGTGATTTCTAAGCTCTGCTCCATTGGATTTCTTTGACACAGGTCCAGTAGAACTCTTAATTTCAGAAGAGCCCCCTTTTAATATGTCCTGGATAGTGAATGAGGTGGGGAAGGGGCTCTTCTGAGACATCTTAGTGCATTACTCCAGAATGGCCTGGATCTCCAGATTCTGGGGTTAGTAGTTGGGGAGCAGGCAGTCCACACTGGGGACAGACAGCCAGAAGACAAGGTGAGCCCAGCACAGCCAAAGTAATGGATGGCTCCTAGTGTCCTCCTAGCAGACTCCCAGCTCTCAGATCACCGCCCCCTGCTGGCAGAACACACACAGCTCTGCTGCCATTGGACAACATGGGCTGTGACTCTGCCTCTGACAAAGAATCAGGAAGTCTGGGTGATAGAAAGTGGTCCTTAATTAGCTAAAGGGCACTATCTATCACACTCCAATGGAGTGAACACAGGTATCATTCTTTTTTCATGCTTTCCCCAACATTCCATTACATTCTTATACTATATATATCTATAGTTTGTTTTTTGTTTTTTTGTTTTTCATGTTTTTCCTAACATATTCCATAGCGTTGTACAATGGGTGGTCTAATAGACAAGGTGGATGTACAGAATGTGGGGGAGCTCTGCAATCTTGGGGTCCACACACTGGAGCATGAGATATATAAACACAGATATAAACAGTAATATTCAGTGTGTTAGGAGAATATGTTATTATTTTTGGACATTGCATTTAATTCATTTAAATGTAATTCATATAACGGATATAATTAAATGTGAAGGTTATTCATAAAACGAATAAAAGTCACCGCTTTAAAAAAAAAAAAAAAAAAGGTGGTGGGGGGGAATTAATGCTCAGGTCAGGCATTAATAAATGGATAGATAGATCGATAGATCGATAGGTAGATGTATCGATAGATAGAGAGAGACAGAGAGAGAAACAGACAGATAGAAAGAGAGAGAGACAGACAGATAGAGAAAGAGAGAGACAGAGAGACAGAGAGAGAGAGACAGGCAGACAGACAGATAGAGAGAGAGACAGAGAGAGAGAGACACAGACAGATAGATAGGTAGATAGATAGATGGATAGATAGATAGATAGATAGATAGATAGAGAGACAGACAGACAGACAGATAGAGAGAGAGAGATAGAGAGATAGAGAGAGACAGAGAGAGAGAGATAGACAGACAGATAGACAGATAGATAGAGAGAGAGAGACAGACAGATAGATAGATAGATAGATAGATAGATAGATAGATGGATGGATAGATAGATAGATAGATAGAGAGAGAGAGAGAAAGAGATAGAGAGAGACAGAGAGAGATATAGACAGACAGATAGATAGATAGATAGATAGATTTAGAATCAATTTATTTTATATTAAATATTTTTAATCAATATTATTTATATGATTCATTTCCTGCTCTGCAGACTTTTCCATCTGCTCATTTATCATTTATTTGTGAAGTTCTAATTAATACACCCATTACCATGGAGTCACAATAAACGCAGTAAGACTATTACATGATTATGATATAAAACAGGGTCTATACAGATCTATACAATCTAATCCTACCTAAATGTGTTACATATTGCACACTAGCAGAGCACTGTATTAAATAAATGATTAATCAAATTACTTAATATAAACTTGCATTTAATTGGAAGAATGGTTTGTGATTTGCTGAATATATACTTTCTAAACGAACTATTTACTGCCTGAAACATTACATGAATTTTTATAAGCTATACTCACAATTATTCAATATTTTTTGTAAAACGAGATATGACAGTTATCACACAAGCTCAATAAATAAACAATACTGATTAAAATACTAATGTAAACATTGCTATAGCTCAATACCTGTCTGTGACCAGGTGATAACTTGTATCCATTTGATTCGATGAGCATAAGCGCCCATAGAATATTAACCTGTGAATAGCCATGGCCCAATAAGGATAATCAACTCTGAGCTGATACAATCTGGAAATGTATTATTTTTGGAATCGCATTGTTCTGGTGTTTCCAGCGGTTTGAAGTGTGTAAATATAATGCTGTCTGGTGATAGTGAAAAATATTACTGGTAATCTCAACAGCTTTAACCTTTTATTATTGTAAAATTGATTCCATTAACCCTGTGAAACCCAGAGTATTGCAAAGCACTGCACGTGGCCCACCTCCGGCAATCAAAAGGTTAAAAAAAAAAAAAAACCTCGCACATTTTTTTATCACCAAAATTTTATTTGGAATAAATCAAACTTAAAATGACCAAACAAGGCCACGTTTGATAACAAAGAGATATTACATGGACAACATGTAATATGAAGCGTATTTCATGTTATTCGATTTAATATCAGCAAAGAAATAAAAAGTTAATCAGCAGACACCATAGGGTTAACAAACTCACCAAACATGGCAGGGTGGAGGTGGAATATAAATGATGGGGGCATCATCCTATTTTAACCATTTCAGGGCTGGAAAGTATTGAGCCAGGGACCAGTAACGAAATTAGCAATGTTTTTAACAATAATGGCAGTATTTAGGTCAAATATAGGCAAGATAAATGAATATAAGGGAACCTCCCTCACCCTCCTTTGGGCTGGCTCAGCATAATAGGATGGGGATCTAACTGAACATCCTAGGAAGCCAATGATGCATTGTATTTACTCACTGTGGGAAATCATTTTAGGAAGTTTTCAAACAATGATTGACATTAAAAGATTTATGACAATAGTTGAACCTCTTTTTATTGATATTGTTGATAGCACTAATATCAGTATTAATAATTAAGGAAACATAGTTTTTTCCTAAAGCTCAATAGTGTCAGTAACTAGATAGCTAGCTGTGATGTCACTAATTAGCCTTATAGGGATTAAATTGACATAATTTAGACCTACCAATAGGAAGTGCTACAGCTGAGTTTTACTTCCCATGGTCCTCTGCCACAGGCTGACTGTGGATCATAGGTGTTGTAGTTCAATAATTTGTCGGATCCTTTTAATCAGGAGTATATGTCACAAAGTGAACCCTGCAGACAGCTATCACATACAATGTAAACCTGTGTGTTTGAATGCACAGGCCAGCAAGGGTTTGTAGGTAGCTGGTGATGATGAAAATAGATAGAGGTAAACAGACAATGATATCAGCTACAAAAACAGACAGAGACACAGAACACAGTTTTGCCACACAATGTCTTTTGACTATGTTTGAAAACTGCTGATTAATTCAATATTTTGACTTTTTTTGGAAACATAATATTTTTAATTCCTCAGGTGAATGAAAAATATTTATGAATACAGCAGGTTAAGGCAAACATATCTGTACAGAGCTAAACACAGCATAGTCACATTGTTTCCCTGAGCAAAAAGAAAAGGCAACTATATGTGAGTTTAGCTAGGCTCCTCTACTTCAAAGACAGCCTGGCCCCCTTGCCTCAGCTAAGTGGATCACATATCTTTACAAATCAGCTCAACCCAAACAGCCCCTCTCTTCAGTCCACCAGGTGGATGCTATTGTCTCAGTCTTGGGGTATTTCTGTCACTTCTCAACTGTAGACAAGAGGCATGCATTAGCCAAGCCAGTCTTTTAGCTCTCTGAGCATTTAGAGTGCCAGAGGGCTGAGCAAGGTACTGCAACAGCAGATACAATGACAAGAGAATGAAAGGCCTCTCTATGGGCTTTGCCCTCATCATTTTAAAGGGCAGTGACCTTTTCCATTTAGATTGAAAGGAAAATGGAAATATTCCAATACCTTTTATGAGGTTTTGGATATTTCACTGCTGTACAGATGAGCACCTTCTAGCATTCCACCTGATGTATATTATATTGACTTGAACAAGGGTGACCAAGCAGCTCCTCAGCTGCTGCAGAACTTTTATTCCCATGATGCTTTGCGATTGCAAGCAGCATGGGGTTGTAGTTCCACAACAGCTGACGATGTAACCTTTGGCCAACCCTGGGACAGAAAACTCATACTCATACAGGGCTCTTCAATGAACCGAGGATTGTCCGGAATTAAAATTGAAAAAAGAAGATTTTACCTATCTTTTCTCTGGTGTGTAGCTTTGCCTCTTTGGCCAATTCAATGGTTTCTCAATGATTTCTGATTGAAATAGAGGAATTTTACTCAATTAATTCACGGAAATACCTCTAGTGGCTGTCAGAGAGACAGCTACTAGAGGAGGAGTTAATTCTTCAATGAAAACATGAGAGGATATTCCTGCAGAATGACAGTATTTTCAGCTGCAGGGATAAAACGAGGGATGAGGCACCCAGACCACCAGATAATTCTAGTTTCCGTGAATAACCCTAATATAGTACCAGTGACTGGGTGGGCATGCTCAGAGTTGCAGTGCACAGCAGTAACACACTGGTTTTGCATTAATCTGAGCAAACCAATAGGAATCGCCACAGCTGTTGAACTGTACTTCCCACGATCCTCTTCCACAGGTTGTCAGAAATAGGGCAAGACCATCAGCTGAACAGTGGGAACTCCAGATACCATTAAAACTTAAATGAGATAAAGTGATTACAGTGCTTAGTGTGTCCCTTTAAATCTGTCTATTTAAACAGATGAATCTGTGTCGAATCTTCCATTAGTAAGATATATAAATTGCAATCTAGATCGAATCCAGAGATTACTCCTAATTTATATAATATGGAGAAAGTTTTAGAATTTGCTAGATTACCTTGAGTTGATAAATAGACTTTTGCACAAAGGTATTTCAGCTCGAACGAATCATATTCTTTTATTTTATTTTTAAATCTTTATTTTTGCATTGACATAGACTGAAACAGTGCAGTATAAAGAGACTTACGCAGAAGCCTGATTTCCGTAAACGCGTAATAAATATAAATATTACATTACCGGACTGAAAAGAGGTGGGTTACATGCATGCGGTGCATCAACTATCGGCGTTTAGCATGTTCACAGTCTGTCAGATTTTAAATGAACAGGAATCGTATTGTTTTTAATCTACATTCGAACGAATATAGATTTCACAGGTAAATCCCAGACTACTCGATTGTTTCGGCGCGTAGATTAAAAGGAATTCTATTGCTTAATACTATTGCCATGATGTTGTGCCTACGTAGTTGGTAGGTCATTACAATATACGTTACCTTACTAAGAGCAGAAAAAACTCAGAAACACAGGACAACACCCACAAGACCTGCACCTGCCCTCTTTCTTCTATACACACACAAAGCCTAATTTACAGTGTTCTGGATGTCACTTAGAGAGATCCTTCTATTGTGAATGAGAGGTAGCTGCTTCAGTGCTTTTCAAAGATAAAATCAATTGAAAGTGTATTTTAAGTGTATTTTGAAGGAAAATGTCTGAGGCTCAAGGTGTGTTATGGAACTGTGTGTGTTTAAAGAATTAAAGTAAAAACAAATATAATGGATGTTTTACATTCGCCTCCCTTCTTCATATACAACAGGAACTGAGTTTTTGTTTGTCCTACTGAAATAATAGGTTTCCTCCCTTGTGAGCAAATTGTGCACCTGATTTATGGATTCAGCATGCTCGTTCCCTTTCATTGCAGGCCTCAATGAACTCACACAACAGAAATAATGGCAAAAAAATGCAATCAGTTCAGAAACCTGCTAGCAGCACCAACAATTGTAACTATTTCAGGTGTTTCCAAGTAAACAAGGTCTGACATCTTCTAACGCTAACAAAATGTTAACCTCACCCATAAAGGCCATGTACATCTCTACCTGTGTTAATGTCAGACAGAGGGATAGAGTCTATTATAGTATAGAAACAGAATGTTATATATTTTAACCAATTTCTGACGTTGTAATGTAACAAATACAAAACAACAATAAAATCAGTAATAGCGAAAATATGAATCTAAAGTCAAATATATGGATATTTGACTTTAGATTCATTTTTTTCATCTTTTTTGAGCAATCTAATACCATTGCTAATTTTTTCAAAACCTAAATTTACACAAATAAAATATATTAAAAATATAAAACATGCAGCACAAATTAAGTTATTAACATTAAAGGTTCTTCCGACACGGCATAAAATAAATACAGTTGGAAAAGTGGAAATTGAGACCCTAGGTATTTACCTAAGGGATATAAAATAATTAAAATCTGAATTTTTTAAATATACAGAAACATGTAAGTAAATATAATTATGTAATTATACAATTTCTATAAGTATATTAAACTATATAAATATACACAGACGTATTCCAGACCATATATGTCAAAAACACTATCTATCTCCCCTGGCCCCCCTTGTCCCCATAAATATAGTCAAATCTTACCTTTATTGTAGTCTGCTGGTGCTGGCTCTGCCCCTGATCTGCATCCTTGGCTGACATAATTAGAAGTTATGATCTCAGCCAATCCAATGCTTTCCCATAGGAAAGCATTGGATTGGCTGAGATTGTCAATTCTGTTGATCTCAGCCAAGGAGGCGGGCTGACCAATCAGCGTCTCTTCATAGAGATGCATTGAATTAATGCATTTCTATGAGGAAAGTTCAATGTCTCCATGCAGAGGGTGGAGACACTGAATGTCAGTGAGGCGCACTGTGCAGCACTGCCCCAAGGAGCACCTCTAGTAGCCATCTGATGAGTGGCCACTTGAGGTGTCCCTAAGGAGCAATGTAAACAGTGCATTTTCTCTTAAAAGACAGTGTTTACTGCAAAACTACTGTTAGGACATGCTATGCTGACCAGAACGACTACATTAAACTGTAGTTGTTTTAGTGAGTATAGTGTCCATTTAAGTTTAAGTTAAGCACAGTTACTAGACCAAACACAGTAAACTTTTAAATTATGAACTGATGAATGACACCTTCAAAATTGCACAAAATTGTTATTCCTAATCAAAATATGTACTTCTTTTTATAGCATAACAGTGTAAGCTGGGCCATGGGAACCTCATAAATAATTTGACAGCTTACCGGAGACAGTTCATAAGTCAGAATTCTAAAGGTCACCTTGGGAAGAAGGAAAGATAAAGTGATGGTTAGTCGTTATTGTGGGAAGAGAGAACAACACATCCCAAGATCCCATTACTTGTGTAAAATGAATGGGGTATCCTAAATCTACATCATCAATCCACCCATGGCTATTATTTACAATATTTCACTTGTAGCTTCATCTATAGAATAAATATAAAGGGGAACTTTCACTTTCCAGGATTTCCATACTTTTAGGGTTATACAATAAAGTCAGAATTGCTGAGAATTCAAAGTAAATTCAAAATATATTTTAAAACAATTGTTGTCCTGTTCTGCAATCTTCTGTCTATAAAGTAAATTGTGGTCATCACTAACAGCAATCAGTTACCTCCAAGGATGTTATTTACGTTTGGTTACAGGTAACAGGAGCGAGGTCCCTCCAGCAATAAGGTTGAATAATTGTAGATGCCATCCATATCTGCATTCCCAAATAATGATAAAACTACATGTCTGAATTGTCGTCTGAACCAACTTTTCTTTTTCAGACTGTATAACATAGTATCTGCCTCGCAGACTGATATTGAGCTTTAAGTAGATTTTTCTGGTGCGTTTGTAGTTATTTATGGCAGCCGTTAATTATGTTTACTTATTTTCCTATAGACTGCATGTTTACATAAACCACAAAACCATTCAAAATAACTCAAAATGACTTTGAAGATATGGACTCCCATTTCAGATATTCTAATTAATGTAGAAAGAATGACATTATATTGTATATTTTTGTCAATCTCTTTTCTATTGAGGCATGTGGGGTACACATTACAGGTAGATAGAGTTAGAACATACGTATACATGTAAATAAAAGCATAACATGAGTATAAACATGAATTCTTCAATTTACTAAGCACATGGGAGTATACTCCTAACAAAGTGAAAGTGTAAAGAAATGAAAAAGAAACAAGCAAGATATACTATTCTAACTAGAGGTATAAACTAAGCGTTCCATCATGTGGGGTACTTCAGACACGGAGAGTGGTTGAAATCAATGTAAGACAACATGCTAGGCAAACACGAGATTAGATAGACCATTAGAATCTATTGAAGTAATATGTGATTACACTGCACATCATAGACTGTCTAAAAACAAGATCTTGTCTCACAATAACTAATAATGGTAAGACGACGTCCCACAACTTCTAGGGAAGTCATAACTATGGTGGGTGGCCTTCGATAGTCTCAGCCAACTGCATGGTTTGGTAAGCTCTTGGGGTTTTTAGTGGAGGCTTTGGAGGTATCAGGGTAACAGTAATAAGACAGAGCCTCACTACAGCCCTAGACCACATGAGTGCCAACATCTTTAGGCCACGGACATCTTCAGGCCACGGCCAGGTGACATTAGAATTATTAATCTACCTTACAAAATGACTGCATTTTACTGCTATTACTGCATTTGTTTCTACAATTACAATGGAACTGTCACTTCTTCAGTTTTAGCACCGAATAGCTAAGCGAACATTAAATATTGGTTGTGCTAACTTTTTAAAACTCAAGTGTCCTTTTATTTTGCTTTACATACTATAATGGGCAAAAACTAACAAAGTATGAGAAGCCACCGAGTTTCTCTAAGCTTTTGTCCGTTCTCAGAATTCTCATTCTTTGTTTTTCCTTTAATGCATTAACTTGGCTCTCCACAAGTTAAGGGGGTAATGCAGATGTGGACCCCATCCTCATTGTGCCTAGAGGGGTATCAGCTACACCTCACTGACGAGGCCCAAGCAAGGCCAAAACGATTATCTGGGGTTGCTGTACCTCTCGTGCAGAGGGAACTTGCTGGCATTTTGCATCTGGACTGCCCGTACGGGTGGGACCAGTCTGCTTTGCTCCAGAATATAAATACAAAAGAAAACAAGTCCTGCGCTCATTTCCATCACTCCTGGGCAGCAGCAACGACCACAGTACACATCAGCCCCAATACCAAAGAAAAAGTTACCTGTGCTCTCTCCTTAACCCCTATGTATATCTAAACAAATGGAGGTCATTTAGCTATTCCAATGGCCATTGGAGGGAATGCCCGCCTGCCAATGCCCTGAGGTGGGTCCTACTCTGACCTGTCACCTTGATTCCTTAAGCTTCTGGCAAAGATATCTCTAATGAGACAGAGAGGGGTATATTTTATATACACCCCTATATACTTATTAACCCTTAATAGGCCATTGGAGTAACTAAATGACCTCCGTTTGTTTAAATATACATAGGGATTTAGGAGAGAGCGCAGGTAACTTTTTCTTTGGTTTTTACTGTATGCTTCAGAATATGTTCTCTCTGTAATGGCACATGTGAGCAAAAACAATTTTGAGACCTGAGCAGTGATTTATCGAAGGGAAATCTACTGAGCTTCTCCAAGCTTTTGTCCGTTCTCAAAGTTCTCATATTCTTAGTTTTTTGAAGTATGAGAATTAGTTAATGTTTGCAGTGACGTGCACCTGATGCATGCGCACCTAGGGAACTGCACTGCCAGCACTGCTGGGAACTGCACTGCTGCACAGTAGGCATCTAGATTAGATGTGCCAGCATGCACATATGCCCAAGACAATAAGGGTGGTGAAGTCTCTGCCACACAGAAGTACAGTGAAGGTGAGTAACCAGGTTATTCATAGGACATACATAACCCAGTGCTGCCTGAGATTAAGGAGAGTTGCACTTCTTAGCGGCAGATGTCACCATTTAGATTTAGCTTATTCCTGAGCCAAATTAATTGTGGCAGTTGAAATAGCTCCTGCTCCGAACTAAAATGCCCAATACTCGTAGACAGCGCATGCACATGTATGTCCAGTGCTGCCCTAGTGGTAAATACCTCGCCGTAACCCCTACACTAGCACAACACACTACCTCACTACTACAAACCCTTAAATTTGTCTTTAACTTAACACTAACGTCTTAAAAATGAATCGTAAAAATTATCTCTGTTTGCTGTTCAGCTTCTGTGACCCAAACATTTGAAATTCACTTTAAATTAATTTTCAGGGTTATTTTATTATTTATGATTTTAATTATTTCAAATTATAGGCCAATAGTTTAACTGCAATTATAGTTGACTTAGTGAATTTTTCCAGCCAATTAGACGATACATTTGAAATTCACTTTGCATTTACTGTGAATTCTCACACTAGTAAATATTCCTGTTTTGAAGTGAGTATTATGGAAAGATAATATAATCACGTGTTGTGGTATATTTTCATATCGTAAGAACCTCGAGAGGACATTCTTTCTTTATAATACTCAGCTCACCAATGTATATATATATATATACAGAGAGATAAGCAAAATAACAGATTATATTAGTATTTTGCAATTTTATCTGTTACTTTACTTCTGCTTCACTGAGTTAACACAGCTGATATTTCAACTCCAATTTTATATATATAATGTATTGCTTGCTGCATGCTGACTTTTAGTGTGTCATTAATCTGTACTCCAGCGCCTCCTCTTGGTTCACTTTAGAGCATGTGCCAGTGCACTGGGAATGTCTTGGCAAATCCACGACTGATGATAAAAATCCCTATCAGTCTGAGCAAAGAGAGGGATAGGAGAAGAACTGAGCTCCATGCAAGGAGGTCTATGATGAAAGCCCAGCATCTGAGAGCGACTAATCAGCATTCATTGTGGTAACACATCCCTGCACGCAGGATACAATCTTACAATACAATACTATAGATTGAATTGATTTATATTGGCTATTAATGTCCTCACTGCAATACAGAGGGGATTTAAACTACATGAACTTTGTGTGGACCAAAAGGTCTAGGACAACATTCTACCAGAGGAAAACTTAGCAGAAACATTCCGCTGTTTCCATGGCGATTGTTCCACATGTAGAACGTTGTCCTGGGTGTAAATGTCTCGCACACAGTATAATTCCAAGTGTTAACGCAGGTCAATGTGTTTATTAGTTTTAGTTAGGGATAATCTGATTTTTACTGATTTCTGAATAGATTTGTTCTAGAAGGGTTTCAACGTCAAGAGACAAACTGCATTAAATGACAAGTAACAAGTATTTTTTTTCTTCTTTCAGCTTTAAAGAACTACATCTCGTCATCCACAGGCATCCCAGGTCTGGCTGAGAATAATGACAGTTACAGTCCACTGCAGGTACAGTAACTGGAATTACAGTACCTAAAAAAATAAATCCTTGTATTGTCAATGTCCAATAAGGGGAGGATACAATTGCAGAGAGTTTGCAAGACATGTGATCTTTATAATAGAAAATATTTCCTTCAGGCCCTCCGGGGAGACACAGCTTAGTAACTCACTGATGGAGCAATTTAAATAATAAATAAAATGTGAATCTATTTATAAACATATGGGTTGATTCCTATAGTCAAGTATTATTATTGCAGCTGAATGTAAAACGGCATGTCAGTTACCAAATACTAATGTGTCTCTCCTAATACAGTCTGAAAGTTACAGGGTTACTTACTAAAATGAGAATTCAAAGTGAATTTCAAACATAAGGTCACAGTAGGCAAACTGACAGCATAGTCAAATTAGAGCATTGAAGGTGTTTGTGAATTCATTGTGACACCAATGGACGGTTATAAAATCTCAATGTATGTCTGTCGAAAATAGCTAAATACAATGTGTGTGTGTCTGTGTGTGTGCGTGTCTGTGTGTGTGTGCGTATATGTGTGTGTGTGTATGTGTCTGTGTGTGTGTGTGTGTGCATATATGTGTGTGTGTCTGTGTGTGTGTGCGTATATGTGTGTGTGTGTGTGTGCGTATGTGTGTCTGTCTGTGCGTGTGTGCGTATATGTGTGTGTGCCTGTGTGTGTGTGTGTAAGACTTACGTTGTTTTGATTGAATATGTTGTATCATATGATCTAATTAGTAAAATGTGTACAATATGTCTTCTATAATAAGATTACTAAAAATAACAGTAATCAATCTGAAATTATCTATAGATTTATGAATAACACGTATTTATAAATTATCAGTAGAATGGAAACCTGGACCATAGACATTTAAGTTCTAGTATGTTATTATGAAGTATTTTCCCCTTTCTTATCCCAGGGCTCTGTATATCACTGTTTGTCCTTGTTAGCTGATGATACTTTTATTTTTGTTTGTATATTAATAAAATATTAAAAATAAATAACAAATTAATTTTCTATAGAACATTGTTTTTACTCATAATAGACATTTCTTACTCCCAAGTTCTCATTTACAGGAAACAATGTTTGTAGGATGTTTAAAATATGTACCTATTATAACTATTGATAATAATAGGTTTACATTGATAAATTAAGAAAAAACGTTGTAGTGTTTGTATGACAATGTTTGTATGACAATAACAGGCTAACTGTGAACATTGGACATCAGTTGTATGGAATTTATGGAAAATGCATAAGTTTAACCATGTTACCCCGTGACAGCAGAGGGACTGTGGTTTGGGTTCCAGAAGAGTCCCAATTTGGAAAAATGATAACTAGAAAGACAGCGTCACGAGCTGGCCTTAGGGGTGTGTGGTCTGCACTATCAGGAATTTGACGTTACGTCATGTCTTCATCCGCCTTACTCACAGCACTGCAGTCTGTAGCCTGAGGTTTGGGCTGAGAAGGAAGGTGCAACACTGGACTAAGCAATCACACATTGACCTCGCTATAAGTACTATGGTAGAGGAGAGAGAGGAAGCGGTATCTGAGTAGAAGAGGGGGAGAGATATCCCGTGGGCTCAGAAGAGAAGAGAAGTGGGGGACTAGTGGCAGAGATAATTGGGGGTGGATAATGAAGAGAAATGGGGGACTTGTGAGAGAGACATGGGTTGGGCCAAGGAGAGAAAATAATGTGAAGTAGGGAGAGATAATTGGAAGGCTAAACTAAGTAGCATTAATTGGGGGGTAAGCTAAGAAGAGATAACTGCAGCGCTCTTTACAAACATAAGGAAGGTCTGGTGTTTAAAATGTGAACTGCAGTTTCTACAATGCTCATCTGTCCCTTAAAAGATGGTCCAAGCACCACAACCACTACAGAACACAATGGCCATGGTGGCATCCTCCCGCCCCCCAAAATCAATAGTCAAACCATTTTTCCTGGTCACATCCTTCCTGTGCCAGTTCTGACGCGTATTGCACCAGATAAGAAAGAGACATATTTAGGGACATTTATCAGTGTTTTGTTCTAAAAAGTGATCTAAAGTGCTACAAGCCAGGTAATCACCATGGAAACCAGTGAAACCAGCAGGCACTTCACATTGGTGACTCCCACACCCCCTTTTAAATTTTTTTGGCCTACGTATTCAAAGTCTCCTGTCAATTCCCTACTAATGACAATTCGCCTGGTTTAGTGAATAACTCCCAAAGTATAACTATTTCATACTGGGTTTAATTCTGTAAGCTGCAATCGAGAAGAGCTGAAAAGGGAGATAGCACATTTTGGGTGACAGGTGAAAAAATAAGAAGGGAAATATTTCAGCTTTCGGTAAAAAAAATAATGCATTTGCATTGCCTTCTCAATTATCCACAACCCCCAGCTTAGTAAATAGAACACTCCTATGTTTATATAACATATCATTAAACAAATGAATATAATGTATCTCTTTTACATGTCATATTGTGCAGGCAAATCATCTCCAACCTTTGAGTTCCTAGTGCTACCACTAGGGCTATGCTTGTTTCTGCACTGTAAAAAATGTGCAGCATGCAGTATCACAGTCTGGACAGTAGATGGCACAATGGTTCTGTTTTTTCTCCAAGCAGGTGAGGCTCATAAATAGCACTCACATAATTACTGCTGATGTTATGATTCCATTGCCAACAATTTGCATTTATAAACTTGATTGCATAAATCAATGGGGACCAATCGATAGGGACACCACAGTGTATGGACTCTAGTTCTCAGCCAGATAAACAGATCATAAAATCATGAACAAAATTAAACCACATATTCAATTCTGAATGGCTTAAATATTGCAGCTAGGCTGTCAAATCAATACAGTGGGATGAACATCATTGGACGCTGATAAGGTTGAGCAATAGGAATTTCTAAAAAAATAATGTAAATGAGTACAATCAATCCTGCTTTTATAACCAGCGGTCACAGAACCAATGGAAAAACAAGAAGGACAGAGGATCTGTGCATGTTATCTAATTCATATCTAGAAACCTATTACCCACACAGGGAGTATGGAATATTCCACATCCCCTCTGGGTTTTAGTTGGTCCTGGGTTCCCCCGCCCCTCTCTTTCACAGACAACACAATGCAGTGCTTAACCATCCTCCCAAGTGTCTCTATTTAGGAGGGACAGACCCTGTTTTAAGGCCCAAATCCCTTTATCCCTCTTTTAACCTAATGCCCTTTTTAGGAGCTCCATATTGTTGATGTGTCTGAGTGTATAACAGAGCACCACAGCAATAATACTCCCAGTAATGTGTCTGAGTGTATAACAGAGCTCCACAGCAATAATACTCCCAGTAATGTGTCTGAGTGTATAACAGAGCTCTACAGCAATAATACTCCCAGTACTGTGTCTGAGTGTATAACAGAGATCCACGGCAATAATACTCCCAGTACTGTGTCTGAGTGTATAACAGAGCTCCACAGCAATAATACTCCCAATAATGTGTCTGGGTGTATAACAGAGCTCCACAGCAATGATACTCCCAGTAATGTGTCTGAGTGTATAACAGAGCTCCACAGCAATAATACTCCCAGTAATGTGTCTGAGTGTATAACAGAGCTCCACAGCAATAATACTCCCAGTAATGTGTCTGTAAACTACAATAAATGTGTTCAGAAATCAGTCTGTGTAAATAAAGCACATTGTTCTTTCTCTAAATTCCTGTTTTAGTTGTATAAATTGTTATTAGTGAGTCACCTAAAATGTCCCACCCCCACTCACATCCCTAACATTTAATTGTTCCCTCTTTGATCATGTGAAATGTTGGACAGAATAATTTAACTGAGGTCCTGAGATGCCCTCTCTGTTTATATTGGGCTATGGTCTGATCATTTTGCTGAGAGGAGGGTTTGTGACTGTTACTGGGATTTAAAGAAATGAAATATTCATTCAATGTCGTGATGAATGTTTGTGCTTAGTCCCCTTTACATACATGTGTTTTTTCAATTGTCTCACGGTTGGATATCTATTCTGGAATCTGGTTGCATGGCGATGATTAAAGAGTAGAACTCGAGTTGTGCTTCTCTAAACCAATACAATGAGCTACGGAATGTCAGAAAGGATTTACCAGTTCCTCGTTAGTAAATATGTTTTAATAGGCGCTATTTATGAACATATGAAAACTATTTTCTGCTTTTCTCCAGATGACAGTTTTCACATACCAGTATGATGCAATTAAAATATTATTAATGTAGTTGCTTTTTCATACTTTAAACATATTTTTAAAAACCAGATGAACACAAAAAACATAAAGTTGATAGTGTAGTGATTGGCTGTAAATTATATAATTATTAATATATATAAATATATGGATAATGAAATGACAATAGCCAAAAATAGTTTTTGTTTTAACTTTTTTTTGTTAATTTATGTTTTATACTATAAATAACTATAGTAAACCTCTATATTGCAAAAGATAATCATGCTAAAAAGCAGAACTGTACATTTTCTTGTTTAGAAATTCTCATAGATATTCAGTAAGTCAGATTCGCACAGAATAACAGATACAAATAATGTATATATCAAAGTCATATCTTGAAGAAATAAACTGCATATCTCAATTGTGAATCTCTATAAATGTCTACAACAGGAAAAAGCATAAAACGAATTATCATCATATTATATCTGCCCACTGTCATCTGGTAGGAATGATCTGGTAATATTCACAATGTTTCGTCTGTGATTAAAAAGAATGAGAATTGCAGACTTTATCATTAAAGGGGATAGAGAATGGTAATGTTTCAACCTCACAATCCAGTCTTCATCAGTCTCAGGTATCTGGAGGAAATCAAGGAATGAGAATTAAAAAGTAAAGATCAGTACGGCAGACAGTGGTTTTGCCAGCGCTCAGTGTTTCTGCTGAGCAATGGATAGATGGTGATATTTTTGGGTGATATTTTTTGTGTGCCATTCAATAAATCTGTAGCTTTACTTGTCTGTTGCTTCATTTGCACCATATCCTTCATTTTTTAATGTTCCACCTTTTTTGCTAAAGAAGTATGAATCCTTCTGTCACTTTTTCCACCAAACGTGTTCTGTTTTACTTCTTTTAGCACCACTCTAAACTTGGCGGTCAGTTCCGGTCAGTTCAATAACTGAGAAAACTAAAACAGTATTTAGACAATTATTAGAATAATTAAATGCATACAGATTAGTTGCATAGTCTGAAGTGTAAAGATAGAGCATTTTTAACATTTAGGATAATATTAAAGGAACACTATAGTGTCAGGAATACAAACATGTATTTGTGACACAATAGTCCAGTATGACTGTCCAGGTCCGCGGCCCACCTTCCCTTGCTTTAAAAAGGTGGTTTTTCTCACCTTTTTTGCAAAGCCGCGCCAGTTTCACCACGGATGGCCCTGCCTCCATGGCTGCCCTGCGCTAATACGCGTCTCCTCATAGAAATGCATTGAATCAACGCATCTCTATTGGGAATGTTTAGCATTTCCAATTAGAGCATGGAGACGCTGAACACCAGTGTTGCACATTGTGCAGCACTGATATAGGAAGTACCTCTAGTGGCTGTCTGAGTGACTGCCACTAGGGGTGTTACTAGGCAGCAATGTAAATTCCGCCTTTTCTCAGAAAAAGCAATGTTTACATTAAAAAGCCTGCAGGAACATGCCATAGACACCAGAACCTTATATTCCTTTACATGGTTAGACATTAATATTTTTAACCTCCTTTAAAGAACAAATGCTCCATCCTCCTGCTCATAAGTGGATAAGAAGTGGAGGTCTAGCGACATATGGGAAATGTTCCCATGTGACCAATACATTGAATCTTGCAAAGTTATTAAATGCACAACTCTTACTATACTCGTACTATACTCTTATCTACAATCAAGCCACATTTACATCTTCTAGATCCACAGTGAGAATTCCCCACACATATTTTAGCTCATCTCTATTAAAGTCCAAGAAATGGCTCGGTGTCAATCTTGAACCTTATGGGTTTTTTCTCCTGGCAATATCCCAGCCTGTGTTGTGCTCATTGTGTTTTTTTTTTTATTTAAATTTTTTTTTTAAATCTTTAAACTACCTACTGTATTAAATTACAAAAACTGGAGGTTTTTGTTTTTTTAAGTTCATCGGTTTCTGCATTTATATTTATAGAAATAGTTTTGACGTTACAATTTTAGAATATCCTACTCAGGACTTAATTGTCAATTAAAACAATGTGGTTATCCTCATAAATAAATCAGTAACGTGTATTGTAGAACTAAAACCAAAAATAGAAGAGATTTGATAAGGAAAGGCAAAGTTTTACTGATTTGCAGAAACCCACAATCTACGAATAAATTTCTTATATTTTTACCTGAATCGCTGTCCGTTGGATAACCATCTGAGGAGAGCACCTCTGGGGATAGGACGAGAAGAATCTTGTTTTGTTTGTTTTTCTTTGTGTGTGCAATCATTTCCCCTGGTCATCGTGATAGTTTGCCTTATGGAATTTGAGTGTTTATTTTCTTAATCGTATATATAGCTTTTTTTTCTGAAACCATTACGGTTGTGGCAATGTTTTTGCAAGAACTCTGCAAGGAATTGAACATCCTTTGGTAGTAAAGCAAAATGTTTTGTTTTCCTGATTTCAGGGCCAAACTAGGATTGTCCAAGTTCCCCTTTAGAACAGTAACAGTATTGCGGTATTGTGCCCATTCATCTTGTAGTCTATTAGCAGCTGGTAACATTGCCAAGGATGATGGGAATTGGAGTACAAATTACTTCATTTCCTGGTTCTACCTGAAGATATGAACATACGATACAAATGTTTTGGACTTTATAAGTCATGTTCAACAAGTCCTGGAGTTGCTTGAAGCAAAAACAAAACACTTTTTAAAAACTTCCATACATTGAAAATTCAATAAGAATCGTTTAATGGCCAGATTTTGACCTAATATTTGGAGGGAATGAGAGGGAATTGTTTTCAAGCCAACTGTCTCCTCTAATGGAGTGATCTATCATGACCCAATTTATACTTTCAGACAGTGTTCTTGGTTCAAGAAAAGGTTAAATGGAAATTTTCCCCCTGGTTGTGTCATTAAAAAGGAAGATGTTTTCATTTTTGTTCTTGGTTGATAATTAGTTCTTCAAACAGTGTATAAAATAAATAAGTAAACATGTCTGAATTTCCCAGGACTTTAGACAGATCCTAGTGATATATCGAGATTTCAGGCACCGCATTGGCTAGTAGGTCCAAGGAAAACAGACTCTGTTTGCCGGTGCAACCATGGAAAACACATAAGTCTCCATTTATTAATCAGAGTACAGGGGACAAGCTCTGGCAGAGTTTGGAAAAGGGAGGTGGGGTTAAATCATCGACTAATTTCAGCTCACAGAAACACAGAAATAATACTGTTTGCACATTCACTGGACAGTTATACACGGAGTAAAGTAAAGCCGCTGATCAAACTACAGGGGGTACATTTGCTATCAGGGTCTGGGTTCTAGAGATTCTATACCTTGTGAATGTTTGGAGCCCCCAAATGTATCTAGTGCAACTAGAGGAAATTTAGATATTCAGCACAAACGTTTTTGTTTCCCATCTCGTTCTAAGCTAAGGTTGTTCTGATGCCTGTAATGTCCTTTTAAGTCACTTAAAGGGACACTATAGGCATCAAAACAACTTTAGCTTAATGAAGCAGTGTGGGTCTATAAACCATGTCCCTGCAGTCTCATGGCTCAATTCTCTGCCATTTAGGAGTTAAATCACTTTTATGTTTCTTTATATAGCCCCAGCCATGTCTCTTCTGCATGTGACTATCACAAAAATGTTTTTATTTTCAATCAAATGTTATCTCCTGCTCTGTAAATTGAAGCTTAATCCAACAAAGGAGGTTATTAAAAGAGCAGGAGATAAGAAATTCTAGATTAAACAGACTGTGCAGTAAGGGAACCTAAAATATTTCTATGTTGAAGGAAGTGTTTAAGAAGGCTCTGGAAGTCACTTGCAAGGAGATAAACAAAGCAATATAACATCTAAATGACTGGAAATTCAGCAGTGAGACTGCATGGATGTGATTTATACACCAAATCTGCTTCATTAAGCTAAAGTCGATCTGGTGACTATAGTGTCCATTTCATGTATACGAGGGAGAGCTAGGAGGTTGAGTCACTGTCTTGTTAGCTCTGTCTGTGACAGAATGGAGCTGGGAAGAGAAATACGGATATCTGTGAGCACTATTTTCCTGCATTTCCTATGCGAGAGCACATAGCATTTCATCCCAAATTCTTCTCTCTACCACCTGAAGTGTAAACAATACTCTGTATAATGGTATTATTTGGTATAATCAGAACAAGTTTGAGATAATCCTGAGAATGTGTATCTAGTATTTTAATGTACTGTTTATTCTCAGAAAGTTCTCATATGTAGCTTTTGCCATTACTGTATCTGCGTGAATACGTCAGACGTGAATTAAGCCTTTTTAGGGCTTCTGAACTCGGAAGTCCATCTAGTGGCCGTCTGATTGACTTCAACTGGAGGTGTTCCAAGCTTCCAATGTAAACACTGTATTTTCTGTGAAAATACAGTGCTTACAAGAAAAAGGCTGCAGGGAGCTGTAGCACTCACCCGAACAACCTCATTAAGCTGAAGTTCTTCAGGTGACTATAGTGTCCCTTTAACCTCATGCTGTTGATGAATTTTTACTGGAATTGAGAAAATCGGAGTCAGAACCAAATACCAATTCAAAATCTGCTTTCCTACACTTGGACATCTCACAGAGTCAATCAGGCACCAAGTTTGTGTAGATGAAAATTAAGGTTTGTGGAACAATATTTCATAGAATGTCTGTCCTGATAGATACTGTTCATTTTTGCACAGTGAATGCTTCTTGTGTACTAAGTGCAGCTTATCTATAGAACTCTTCTTGGAAGTCACAAAGGAATAAGTTGACCAAACTCAGTCATCAATGCTGTAACAACCCGCTGGAGTCATATTCGGTCCTGCAACTCAGGTGCAGTAACAGCTCTTCCTTGCAAGCAGGATGTAACAAACCTCATGTACTTCGTGAGGTACGTTCATTCACACACTCCTGAAATGCTATGGACTTAGTGATTATAGCCGTTTGCATAGTACACTGATTCGTACTTTCCCGAAATCCAAGCTAGTCGTGAGAACAAATCTAGAGGTTCATCATTCGAGACTTAATGAAGGCTACAACAGGGTCTTATTATGGCTAGGTGGCCCACTTATATACACAGACCCCCAACAGGGGGTCTCAAGCAAGGACATAATAATGGCATAATAATCCCACAACACGCCCAAAACACGCCCAAGACACTCCTAGGCGTTTCTGTGTCTGGGAGATAATTTAGTGTACTTTACTTAAACTAATTATCTCCCAGGCACTAAAAATAAAATATTAAAAATGCACATAATACATAGAGAAACCCCCACAAATATTATATCCCTGGAAAGCCTGGATCTAAGCACCCAAGTTGTCCAAATAACGCTCAGATCCCACAAACACAGCCAAATCGCCATTGGGGTAAAGTTTTGATTGACCGCACACGTGGCGCCTGCTCAGATTAGTTCCAGAGAATCAGTGGTAGCCGTCGGTCAATTTCAGGAGTTCCAAAATGAGCAAAAAGACAAACGGTTCATAGGTGGCTCATAGGTAGTGATTGTTCGCCTTGTTCATGCGAACAATCTTACTGAACAGCCCTCTCCTGGCTTGGTTGGAAAGAAGCAGGCGTTCGTGTGAATTTGTCGGTGTTCGCGAGGTTGAGTGTCCGACTTAGAGTTCCAGACACTCAACGACCAAGTCCTGCTGCCTGCTTTCATGCAACAAGATGGCCGCCATTTTCTCCAGCACGTGTTGTTCGGTTATACGAACGACGGCCACACCACTGGCCACAGAGAGAACACTTAAGATTGTGGTTTATTTGAAGTTAATGAGCCAGGGAGGTGGTCAGTGTTCGGTAGATCCATTTACCAAACACAGGGAGAGTAACTGGGTGGATTAAATACATAGTTTTTGTCACACAGGATCCATAGAGATCCTGAGGTTGAGAACAGGATTCTGTCAGGTCAGTGATGGCAAGGGGGCAAGGTATCCAAAGAAGGATGAGGCGGAAATCAGATTTAGAGGACAGCAAACATCAGAGAAGAAGCAAAGTCAGGAAACCAGCAAGGACAGGAAACACATGGAAACAAACGTTAGGAGTTCTGAGGCAGGCAACAAAACAACCAAGCACTGACTGAAAGGTGTGCTCTGCTTATAAAGGAGTGGCTCAATCACATAACCTGGTTTCACCTGTAGGAGGGGTTACCGGTGGTCAATGTGACTGACTGTGGAACTCAGCCCCATATTGGAAGCATCATTTTCCTTGGTCCACCACTCAGTCATGCCTTCTCCAACCCTGACTTGCAGACCAGACTCCTCATGCAGCAGCTGCCATCTTGGAATGCCAGAACAATCGCTGCAAGTTCCCTGGCCATGAATTGAGGATCAAAAGGATGCCGACTGGGGTGTAGCAACCACAGGCACTGTGACTGCTGAAGACCTGACCTTCAGGGTATTGCGGGAGACACGGCACAGGTGAGTACCATCAACGAATGTGACAGATACACACCAACAATCTTGGATTTAGGTTGGATTTTCCAATTTTCCAATTGGCATAAGGATTATCATCCAAATACTGTGCTGTATTTCATCCTTTCTACAGTAGTGCACTGAGTTATCTAAACTCTTTTTTCAGCCTGATTTAGAGTCTGTAGCAAAGTTGTCGAAATGCAAAATGCGTTTTAGATTTGGATTTTCCATATTGTGGAAAATTCACAAAACTTGCAACTATGATTCCTTCTATGCACTTTTAACTACTTTCTCATGCACATAATGTTGATTGCTCCGAGAAGATACAGATGCCCTCTCTGGAGTATTTCCAGGAGTAAAAAGCATGCAAATGTTGAGTAAAGCACAATATAATACCCTACAGCTCAGGGCTATAGGAAAAAGCTACAAATGTTTGCTATTTCTTCAACAACTGTTGCCAGCAAGTGTGTGTTGACATTAATTAATTCATATTCCACCGAAAAGTCACATAGGCAAGTTCCAGAAAGACATACAATAAGTCCCTTTTTCCATTGCTGGAGGCTAGAGCATTATAAGTGATGGTCCATCTGCCTATGGGGCATTGGCTCCTACAGTAAAATCACCAAAGAATTCCATGTTGTGTGCTATAACACCATGGAAGATTGTGGAAGTAGTAGCAACAGCGTCTGGTCCACTTTTGCAAGGTTCCTGAAACTTCAATCCACATATTCAGATCAAAGGCTCAAAGATTGACCAGGATATATTTGTTAAATCCATGACAGAGAGAAAAAGTAGTCCAGACTCTGGACTTCAACATCTGTACAGTGCTTTCAGCATGATAAAGCAATGTTAGCACTGGTTGTGGCTGCATACAAGATCTGCAGGTGGAGGAATGTAGTTCCATCGAGAGAGACCTCATCAAAGTGTGCGAGGACTCCATGTGTCTGTTACTTCCTTTCCCTTGTTGGTGGTTCATGGCAGAGATTTTTGCCTCTGAATTCATGGGAAAAAACATGATGTTCAGCTGAACACACTTGATGATGAGGGGTACCTCACCCTCGGTGCTGCATAATAAACTCAGTGTTGACTTGTAGAAATGTGTTTATAGTTGCACCGTTTAAAATTTCCACATTGTAGATCCAGTTGATTAGAAAATCATACTGCAAAAGAGGGAGAGGATGGAATCCAACATTTGCTCTGTATCTAGGACCAGTTAGGATGTTGATGCCAATCTGAGGCTAATACAAATAAGGACAATATGACTGGACAGCAGCTGGATGGATAAATGGATGGGTGGATTGATCGATAGATGGACAGATTCAGTGCCGTTAAACAAAAGCACATTCCACTTGTCTACTGGGTCGTTCTACTGCAAATATTGATGACACCAGTTCTATTAAAGAATTGCATTAAAGCCAATATACATTGTAATCTTGGTTTTTCCAATACCATTTTTATCAAGCTCTTTTAGTGAATATAAGTGTAACGGATCGCCTGGCACCCCAACTGTGTACCTCCGTTTGCTGGATGCTCCTAGTGCTTTCTGAAGGCTCCCAGCACTCCACTAGACACCATAACCACCGCAGACCCCACAAACCACCGCAGCTTGGTTGGGGTCTCACCATCTTCAACCCACTCTGGACCCAAGACCAGGCTCCAGCTTCCAGTAGGTAGACCTCTCTTAATCCAGAGAGCAGGAGCAGGAACAAACTCTTACAAGAGCTTAGTGATTATACTTTGGGGAGTATAGTGATTGTAGCAATCCCCAGAGTGTAGGTAGTTCTCCAATCCCCCAAACATGAGCTGAAACTTCATGAAGGGTAGAACAAGTCTGAGGCTTTATTGGTACAGGTTTACTTATATACAATTCCTCAGGCCAGAGGCACACCTCCTGGACCTAATGGAACACAGGCACACAAACCAATCAGAACAATACAACAATGTCCGACACTCCCACTTGAAACACACAATCCCTTCCCTCCCCTCTGCCTGTGATACAATTAACAAAGACAATGGGCTAACTCAATTAACTCTAAACAGAAAAAACATACATTTTTACAAACCCCCAAAAGTACTCCAAAATACAACATATCCCCACAAAAGCCACATCCCCTGATAGCCCCGATCTGGGTGAACAACATATCCAAAAATCACCCAGATGGGTTCAGGGGTTCAGGAATTTTCGGGAAGTCTTATTTTTGCCCCACAGTGCACATGGTCCCATGCCCAAAACAGTTCCATACACTCGACGACAAAACACTGCTGGACAATTTAAGATGGCCGCCGCCACATGTTTGAATCTGTTCCAGTTAAAAGTCCAAGGAACAGAAAGAGTACTTTTGAACATGGGTTATCACAGGGCCCATAGTCCCAGGGTAGAAGGCTGGCAAACAAGCCCCTCCAAAAACCAGTGGTGAAGTGGATTTCGTCACAAGAAGTCTTTAAGTTAACCAAGTTATCATATTGTTATAGGAGTGTCGGTGCAATATGTGAAGGATTTAGTCAATGTAGATTATTTGGGAAAATGAATCATTATCTATGTGTGCGGCCGCATTTTCCACCTTCTAAGTGCTTTCTGTTTGGCATCTGTCAGTTTCATGGTGAATAACGCTGTATCGCCAGTGTGTCTGTGTGCATTATAGAAACATCAGTTAACATGATTATTGATTTATGAAAGAAACAAAAAAAAAATAACTGTTGAACTTGCACTTCTCATCGGATTACTGAAGAATATGTTTTTGCCTGTGGGCATCTTTCATTGTTACGCAATCTCCACCTGTTGGCAGGAAAAGAAAACTTCACTATATTCTGAATACTTCTTCAGTGATGGTTGATGATCTAGGGGATAAATTTGATAAAGAAACCTGAAAACTGAAAAGAAATTGTGAGCTTAGTTGATTATAGTTACACACAGAAAAATAAGAAAAAGGCAAATCAAGCACTACTCACACGTCCACCCATAACCCGCTTTACCTGCTGGGTCTCTCACTCACGTGGTGGAGATCTCCAAGCAAGGCATTTTCCTGGGCTACAGAAAGCATGTAGTGTGAAGGAGCTGATCAGAGGGATGAACCTTTTCTTAAAAAAATAGCACTGCAGCCTCCAATCAAATGTAGAAAATCTTTATTCCATAAAAAAAATACTTTACAAAAACCCATTTGTGCAAACCATCCTAACCTCTTGAATCCAACGCGTTTTGTGCAAAAGCATGCACAGATTTTAAAAAACTGCCTGTGTGCATCATATACGATAATTTGTTGTCTTTGCAGGGAATATAGAATATGAAAATAATAAAAATAATATGTTGTGTTAGAATTTCATTTATATTCCAATGCCATCAAAATATATTTTGTCTACAAAGATGATGTAGCTCCTGGTAGCTTAATCTGTCAGGTGCAAGGGACAGGAAGATGGCCCTCACAGGATGGAGAGTTTTCTGAAACTCTACTTGTTGACCAAACGTGCAAGACAACATGTTACCTGGGGAGGGTGGCGGCTGGTCTAAAATTCATCCATGTGGCATTTCGGATTGGATGAATTTCGTTCATAAACTTGTTTTTGGAAAAGCATTTTGGACCATCAAAAGGAAGTAAAAATGAGCCAAGCAGTGTACTGCAGACTATATACATATAATATAAAAATGATGTATTTATGTTGCGATACACTGATTGGCGCATTTTCCTGCTATTTGGTATATAGATTAAGAAGTCACGAATAGAGTGGAAAAAGGTGGAGCAGTAAAATAATCTATATTTATATATTACAAATTTAAGGCTCAAAATTCCCACTTCACATTAGCCACTAAATTTTGAGCCCTGGCTAGTACTCAATTCTTACTTGATAAATGAATGAAATCAACATTTCATGGCTGTCCCCTAACAAACAATCAGCTTTTTTCCATCATCTGTTTTGTTTTGCACCATGGGTGGAACTGACGAACGGAATGAAGCTGTTCGTCCATTGTCTGTTTTGTTTCATGATATGTCTATGTGGTGCTTTGAAGTTACAGAATTTGGACAACGTGTCTATTGCCCAAAATGTGGACGAATTGTAATTTGTTTGACATTTCATGTGTAAGTCTACATTTCATCCCATACTAGTTCTTAAAAAAATATGATTCATTCATAACATTGTGTCGTAAGATTTTTAGCCAATCAATGGCCAACACTGACTGGAAAAGTTGAAAACAGCTTTAAATGAGATTATTATTTTACCTGTCGTTCTTGGATAACAGATATATGTTAGTTGGGGGTCTCTAATGGCTATTGTAGTAGACATACATTTTCACACATATACATACACACCAAACGTCACTCATCAGTCTCATAAACTAACAGCTCTGTCACAAATACCCGATGTGTTTTTCCTTCTAGAGCCTAGAAGTGCTGCAGTAGATGTTAAAACCATAGCAGTGATAACACGGGAAAAATACTTTTTGTTTTCATTCAATTAATTGGGTTTCAGTTTGCCTGAAATTTGGAAATTAACAATTTGAAATTAAACCAAATTTGAAAAGATTGCGAAGGAAAATTAGATTTAGACCTTATTAACCCAATTATGATGTTCCTTAACAGATAACTCATTCATTTGGGACCGTTAAAAATGGTAATCCAACAGGTATCAAATTAGGGAGCTATTTTGTTTAGTAGATATCTACCTAGTTTGTTAGACTTAAAAATGGTAATCCCACATAAGGGTACCAAATTAGGGAGCTATCTACTAAACAGATCCCTACTTCAGTACAAGGAAATTCAGTGGCATGGTAAATAGGTTCCTAATTTGGATTTCTGTGAATAAAATCAACATTTAGTGGTTATCTCCTAGTCGTCAGCCATCTGGAATCAAGCGAACATTGTCAGCCAATGCGATGGTCATTTTCTCAGTTTTGATCTGTGTGGTGCTTTAGAGATTCAGCCAATCAATCTAAATTTGGCCAAATTGTAATTAGAGCCAATCACATTCATTGCTAGTTTTGTCGACTAACAATAAGCTATTTAACCATTCCGATCTATTAACTTTCTCCATTAAAGGCTTATCAGGAACCAATGATTACTAGTTCAAATTTTAAAAAGGGGAGGGAGTGGATGTACCAATGTTCAGCCACCAAAATTGAGGCCACATCACACCCACACACACTCCCCCAGGTGGCTAGGGGCGCCAATGTAGAGACTTGCTACTGATTCCAGAAATTGTAGCAGCCAGCTTCAACAGAATAAGGGGGATGCAATGGAGTTCACAGCTAATATTCCTGGGCTACAGAAAGCATGTAGTGTGAAGGAGCTGATCAGAGGGATGAACCTTTTCTTTAAAAAATAGCACTGCAGCCTCCAATCAAATGAAAAAAATACTCAGAGTTCTAAAGACAATGTGGAGTTCACAGGTAACTACACCCTGTTCCAAATTATTATGCGAATTCTATTTAAGTGTCACAAAGATTAAATATTTTGTTTTTCAGTTTAACTCATGGATGGCATTGTGTCTTAGGGCTCTTTTGATCACTGAAAAAAATCTCAGACACCTGTGATAATTAGATTGCCAGGTGAGCCCAATTTAAGGAAAAACTACTAAAGGAAGGTGTTCCCCATTATTAAGCAGAGCACCATTTTCATGCAATATGGGGAAGAAAAAGGATCTCTCTGCTGCCGAAAAGAGTGAAATAGTTCAATGCCTTGGATGAGGTACGAAAACATTAGATATTTCACAAAAACTAAAGAGTGATCATCGCACTATTAAGAGATATGTGGCTGATTCAGAGCACAGACGGGTTCGTGCAGATAAAGGCACATTGAGGAAGATTTCTGCCAGATCCATGCATCGGATCAAGTGAGCAGCTGCTAAAATACCATTACATAGCAGCAAACAGATATTTGAAGCTGCTGGTGCCTCTGGAGTCCCACGAACATCAAGGTGTAGAGTCCTCCAGAGCATAGGCGTGCACACGGGGTGTGCCGGGTGTGCCTGGGCACACCCTAATCCCCGTGCGCACGCCTATGGTTTGAGTCCTGCAGGAACAGCGTTCCTGCACTTTTTTTGAGCAGGAACGCTGTTCCTGCAGGCACTCAGTGTCCCCTGTCTCACCTCTTGCCCCTGTCATGGGAGGGCAAGAGGTGATGATTCCCCCCCACCCTGCAGCTCAGCCGCGGCGAGGGAGCTCTCTGCTCTCTGCTTCCTCTCGCCGCGCGCTGATGCCGGGAGCCAGCAGACAGCCCGCGCGGCGAGAGGAAGCAGAGAGCAGAGAGCTCCCTCGCCGCGGCTGAGCTGGAGAAAGGTGCCCGCCCCCACTGGACCCCAGGAACAAGTCCACCAGCACTCCAGGTAGGAGGCTGGGTGGACATTTAAAAAAAAAAAAATTAAATATAATAATTTGTGTGTGTGTGTGTCAGTGTGTGTGTGAGTATGTGTCAGTGTGTGTGTGTGTGTCTGTGAGTGTGTGTGTCTGTGAGTGTGAGTGTGTGTCAGTGAGTGTGTGAGTATGTGTCAGTGTGTGTGTGTGTCTGTGAGTGTGTGTGTGTGTCTGTGTGTGTCAGTGAGTGTGTGAGTATGTGAGTATGTGTCTGTGAGTGTGTGTGTGTCAGTGTGTGTCTGTGAGTGTGTGTCTGTGATTGTGTGTAAATGTGTGAGTATGTGTCTGTGAGTGTGTGTGTCAGTGAGTGTGTGAGTATGTGTCAGTGTGTGTCTGTGAGTGTGTGTCAGTGTGAGTGTGTGAGTATGTGTCTGTGAGTGTGTGTGTCAGTGAGTGTGTGAGTATGTGTCAGTGTGTGTGTGTGTGTGTGCGTCAGTGTGTGTCAGTGTGTGTGTCTGTAAGTGTGTGGTATGTGTGTGTGGTGTGTGTGTGTGTCTGTGAGTGTGTGTGTGTGTGAATATATATATTGTATATATATATATATATATATATGTATATATATATATATATATATATATATACACACACACACACGCGGCGTATGTTTGTGCTTTAGGGTGCACACCCTAATGCAATAGGCTGCGCACGCCTATGCTCCAGAGTCTTGCAACTGTGCATAAACCTTCTATTCGGCCACCACTAACAAATGCTCACAAGCAGAAACGGCTGCATTGGGCAGAAAAATACATGAAGACTAATTTTCAAACAGTCTTGTTCACTGATGAGTGCCGTGCAAACCTGGATGGTCCAGATGGATGGAGTAGTGGATGGCTGGTGGACGGCAACCCTGTTCTAACAAGGCTGCGATGTCAGCAAGGCGGTGGTGGAGTCATGTTTTGGGCCAGAATCATGGGAAGAGAGCTGGTCAGCCCCTTTAGGGTCCCCGAAGGTGTAAAGATGACCTCTGCAAAGTATGTGAAGTTTCTGACTGACCACTTTCTTTCCTGGTACAGAAGGAAGAACTATACTTTCCGTAATAAAATCATCTTCATGCATGACAATGCACCATCTCATGCTGCAAAGAATACCTCTGCATCAATGGCTGCTATGGGGATAAAAGGAAAGAAAGTCATGGTGTGGCCCCCATGAGGGTGGGAGGCATTTCCATCCAAACAGCACCTCTGGGAGGCTATTCTGACATCTTGCAAACAAATTCAAGTAGAAACTGTCCAAAAACTCACAAGTTTGATGGATGCAAGACTTGTGAAGCTGCTATCAAATAAGGGGTCCTATGTTAAAATGTAATGTGACCTGTTAAAATGTTTAAAAAGTTAAAATGTTGTTATAAGTTTGATTGAAATAGCTTTTGATTTCAGTAAATATGCTGCAAACACAACAAATGACAATTTTCAGTTCTTTACAACCTATAAAGTGTTTTGAAACAAAGTGTTTTGAAACTTACTGTGCGTAATAATTTGGAACAGTGCATTGTAAGTTTTTCATGTTTAAAAAAAAATACTGTTATCATTAGGAGGTTTGTTCAATAAAATTTGAATTATACTCTTAATAGTTGATAACATGAGAATTATGCTGACTGGTTTTTACATCAATTATTTAGGTAAATGAGAAAAATATCATTTGCATAATAATTTGGAGACTAATAAAGTGAGACTGTTTTAGAAAAATTATGCTAAGCAGAGCATGCATATAGATCTGACACAGATGACCTTGGATCTCACATAATTACCCACACTGGCAGCTCTTGGTAGTGTAAAAAGCACAAATGAGTACTGAAGAAGTGGAAAGGTCCTAAGTAAGGCTTAGCTTATTGGCTGACAGTTCCTGCTGTGGTATGTCCGCCTCACGGGAGATAGTAGTAAAGGGATGGCGCAGTGCCCAGGACCATGGTAAGCAGTCAAACTTTTCAAAAACAGTTTGACTCCTTACAATGCAGGCGAGCCAGTGCATCCCAACCAATCTGCTTATCTGCTGTTAGTAATCATCATATGGCAGTGGTTTAGAATACTTTGTAGAATATAGTAACCAAGTAGAAATATTTAGGATTTATTTTTAGTTAGTACTATTATTCATTTTCACACTTGGAGATTTGTTTCATTCTGAACTGCAATTCATATAATTATGGGCAGACTAGGAGATCATCCAAATTGCCGAACTTCAAACCGAAATGTAACCGAATCACAAGCCGAACAAAACGAGCATTGGACGAGCATGTTTGTTTTGACTTGCGATTCAGAATTCCACATGAAGTGCCAAAAAAAGAGAAAAGAAAGATGATTGATATCTAGGGCACAGTCCCTAAATGTTGATTTTATTCATGGCTAAAGTGAGAATTGACCAATAGAGGGGAAAAAGAGTAGAAGTAAAAAAAAAAAAAAAGAAGCTATTTTCATATAATATATATTTAATGATATAATGTATAAATGTAGATTTTGTAAACTTTTTTTTTTTTTTACTGCCCTTCCTTTTTCCTTGAACCAAATGGTGGGGAGACATATATATATATATATATATATATATATAGTTACACAAATAGTTATATTACCTATATATCTTTTGCAGTAGACTGATTTGCCCCATTTCTGCACCCTTTTGGTTCATCTGATTTGTTTTTCTAAATCTTTTATTGTAAACGAAATTCAGATGAGCCAAACCAATTTATGACCGAAAACATCTTTTATTTTCAGACGAAGTGGTCCAGCTGAAACAATTATTTTCAAGTCTATTATTTTTAGAATGACTCATGTAAGTGGAAATGTGTAATTAAAATCATCTTAAAATCTCATAAACTATTTAGAAACACTAACAATGTATGATCTAGTGATGTATATTTTTTGAAATCCTTGCCACCTAGAATCGTTTCCCTGATGCTGACTATGCTTGTCATAATGTTCGGCTAACAATTTAGAGTGACAGATAGTATCTATCAACACGCCAAATAATCTGAACCTTTATGCAGCAAATAGTCTGACTGAAGAATTAAAATGGATAATAGAGATAACATGAGTAAGTCCTTCCTTGACTTTCATCACCTTTAGAATTAGTTTATCACTACATAGGCCAATTAAAATATAATAGGAGTGTTGTAAGTGGATCTGTCACCTATAATAAATGTTACATTAATCAATAAAACTAAGATGTTTGTGTTGCAATCACTTTCCTCCTAACAATGTGTTTACATGAATTAACTTGTATTTTACATTTCCCGATTAATCTTTCACTTTGCTCTAGCGCTGGCTTTCACCCTGCAAAGAAACAAAATTATTTCCTGTGTGATTCTGTAGATTTTATGTCCTACAGACAGACAGACAGACACACTCTCTCTCTCTCTCTCTCTCTCACACACACACACACCAGTATTTTGTTAGGTCAAACTGTGTGGTTGCATTCTGCACAGTGTATATATTAAAGTGTTATGTATGTTTAAAAAAAATAGATTTTTTATTGCTATGAATGTGTCTGGGTGTATGTGTGTTAAGCTAAATATATCTGTGAGTGCTGTTGGTGATGTGCATGTGTGTCAGTGTCGGTTAAGGCTATTGTCTTAGCTGGACCTAGGGTAGCCAAACTGAATGTAGAAAAAAACAAGGGGTGAAATAGCCCTAAACAAGGGGTGGAATAGCGCTAAACAAGGGGTGGAATAGCGCTAAGTCAGAGGAAGGGGAGGCAGCACACCTAAATGGGTAAGTCTCTCCTAAAAACCCAATAAGGACAAAGAACAATACAAGGACCTCACAAAGTATCCATGGTGGGGATTATACCACCAGCGCTGATTACACTGAGCAGGTTATCTGCTCAAGTAAATGTGAGTACTATTAATTTATTTCTTCTCCTGGATACATATATTTTATACAGAGAGCACTATTCGATGTATTTTTACATATCCTGCTGACAAGATATGCACTGGCCCATATCCCTGAAGTGGGGGAATAATACCACTGCAAGCACTTCAAAGTAGAGCTGGTTTTAAGCTCTATCACATGTGAGTAGGCCAATTTGGATTTCACCTTACCTAAGCTTTTAATATATTTTAAACATATTGCACTATTGTAATTCTTCTCTTATTTTTTACGTCCCTGGAGTCAACTATCTGGAAGACATACTCACCTGGAGATAAAGGCAAATTCTTATAGACTTACCTATACATTAATACCTCATTTTGGACTCTTTGGCTTGTTTGTTTTTATGCATATATGATTTTATATCATTTTACTGACCACGTATTATCTGTTTCACTTCAGTTGTATTAATCACCCCTAACCCCCTGGCGCACCCTATTGCCTTGTATTGTTGTTTAGCCAAACTGAATACCTTACTGATAAAATAAGGTGTGACAAGACCAATCTCGCCACTGTGCATTAGAGGAGCCTGGTTGCCCGCCTGCTGCCTTTAGACTATGGCCCCATGTTGAAACGCTTGATTTTCCCCTGCAAAGACACGAAAGCCGGGTCATTCGGTACTTGCCATATTTGAACGGTGATACCCCAGATAGCTATGCCATGTAGCACATTCGTATAACGAAAGACTATGTGAAAGACTTTGGCTACATGGCAATTGAACTGTATGTATGTGATCTGAGCGCCATTCAGTAATAATGTGCGCTCAGTACCTGTTTTATGCCATAGCTGCACAGTTATATATTTTTATGTATTTTATTGTCTTTTGCTACCATGTGTTCAATGGAGTTTTGCCTCTGTCCTTGGAGTTAACTGGATTACTTCCCAACTATCTCCAGGATAGAAGACTCTGTGCAACTGGTTTTGGGCAGAAAAGCCATGCTTCATTTGGTCACAAAGGACTTCGATCTATCTTTTGAACCACTGGACCAATTTGGATGATTTTGACATATGTTTGTATTTGGAGTATGCTGATTCTGATGTAAGTTTTATGTGAATGTGAAGTATACTTTTAAAGTTATGAATAAGGTGGAAAAACTGTATTTCTCTGTCTGTGATAATTACATTAACCCATTGTGTAAGGTAATTGTATCACAGGCAGAGGGGAGGATTTGTTGTGGGAGTGTCTGAGTGTATTGTACGTGTTTATTGGTTGTTTTAAAAAACCCTGTGGGTGCTACTAATGTGTAAGAATGTGTATATAAGAACAATAAACCCACAGCTCTGTCTGTTCACTACTTGACCCTCAACACAGAGCTTTGTCTCGTTCTTGGGGGGATTTACTGTGTGCTATTAGAGACTGATTGCCAGGAGTGTAAGCCGATTGGGTGCTTTTCCTGTTCAGCTGCTAGCAGCTATTCGTGAGGTTCCAGTTCGGGAGTTTGGAGTGCTACTTTATAGCCTTTTTGGGAGTTTGGGGTTCTGCGGTAGCTGTGCCTGTGTCTCTGGAAGGGGAAGATCTTCTAAATGGCGTTTTAACCCCTTTTATGCCTGGGGGTGCCGTTACATAAGAGATAAAGGAGTATTAGATAAGAAATATTGTTTGCTGTTTGAATGTGTATGATGTACAATGTTTAATCTTTCGGTTCCAAAGAATCCAGTGTTATAGCCAGATGAACTGTGTTTTCATTAGATTAATGAGAAAGGGCTGGGATTTATTTTACAGAACCCAAATAGGATAATTACTTTATCTGTCCTCTCATAGTAAGATTGCAAACATTCAAACTGTAATATATTACCACATTCAAATTTTATGAAAATGATTTTAGTGTGGACAGATAATAGCATTCTACTTTCCAAACATGTTGCATACGACAACGCATACTGCAAAATATAAAATTAACAGAAGTAATATAAGATCCGGTTTATAGTACATATGCATTTTTAAAAAAAACGTTTTAGTGATTCTTTTGAATTGAAGACATTGAGTTTGCTTGGTACCATGCAGTAAACCGTATTAAACCTAACATTTCCATTACAAAAAGGTTTAACACCTTTATTAACCTAGGTAGGTAGGTAGGTGGACGAAGAGAGATTAAAATATTTACACAAGCTATTAAAATATATACACCATTTCCTCATATAGACCTGGATTTATTATTAAAAATATTAAAATTAAAAAAAAATATAAAATATATTATAAAAAATATATTAATATACAAGAACATATCAAAATAATACTAAATGTAAATAATTTGTTTCATAATATTAACTCATTTTAAAAGTTTATACAAAAATATATCATTTGAAAAGAGTGTCCAACCATATTAAATCAAGACCATAGTTTGTTATTCCGCAAAGACTTCTTCCAAATCATTATCACGCAGTAAAAACACTAAAATACACAGACACAAAAAACCAAGGGAAAAACAAAACAAACAAAAAATGACAGGATGGCTTGTTAGGGCACTGGAAAACCTCCTATGCAAATATTGCAGCCTCTGATGTTACTGTGATGTTCTCAGTCAGAGCCGAGGCTGAAATTCCGTCAAATGTTCTTACTGATAAAGTGGAGAGCACCATGTGATTTAAATATTATAGCCCTTACCAATCTTGGTTTTATCTGTAAAAAGTATTTAATATTTTTGTAGCACCAGATCAACGTACATCATGAATATTTCACAAGTACCTGAACCGAGAATCAGAACTAAGGCCTCGATTTAATATTATTGAATAAGCTTTTCTAATGATTCAATATTTTTACATGTATTTTACATTTTGCAATATTTTGAAATGCTTTGATACATTGATATATTATATATTTTTATACATTTTATGTATTTTTTGATATTTTAGTATGGCTACAGTCAGAATTGCAGAATAACACCAGGAATCTGTATGGGCTGAGATTGGTCAAATAACAAGCCGGGTCAGGAACACAGTAGAGAAGGGAACAAGTCTAAATATAGTCAGGGTTATTTACTAAACTGACAATTGCCAGGAATTCAAAGTGAATTAAAAATTTAACGCCGAAGAAGCCAAGTTTTCAAAGCCCTTTGCCAATTAGTGCCTGTAAAAAATTTTTTACAAAATTAAAAAGATAGATACAAATATTCGTGTCACAAACAGTAACAGAGTTGACCATGTCAATAAAAGAAGCCTATTGAGTGTCTGGCATCAAACAGTCTGTTTAGATTTACCCAACCCAAACACTATCACCAAACTGATGTACTAGACCTTAGAGGCCATCCCTGGAGATGTCGTGAGAGGTGCTTTAGATCAAATGACTGATATACTGTGTTTGTGTTTCTTGCAATTAGGAAAATAATCCCATGCAAATTGTCACTCACATGTAACTGTATATATCATAGCTCTCACTGATTCCGATTTCAGTTGTTATCCACAGTTGTATTTTGTTTTGAGATTGCCTTATTAGGATGTCACATATCTTCTATTTTAATAGCTGGTATTTTGGAAGGAAATTCCGAGAGATTGTTAAGGTATTTGGAACAAACATGTCCTCTGACGAGAGATCGTATTTCTTAAGGGCTATAAATAGCTAGAGATGGATAAATAATTAATGTGTAGACATATTCGTTCTCTTTAAAGGGGCAATCCAGGCCATCGTGGGTTACACACAGAGAGGGAGGGTAAAGCTAGCTTCCCATTGCAGACGCTCTGCCTACAAGGGAAAAGATTATTACGTCTGTTGGCAGCAAGCTGTGCGCGCTGACAACAGACATATGTTATGCACAGAACTGACATTAGGCTGCCAGGAACAGAGTTCTGGAATGACTAATTCATGTGTGCCAGGGGTGTAACTAGCCCCCAGCACAAAAGTGCACGCACATACTCCTACCACCATGACTACTCAAGTCACTGGAGGTTTCCAAATGTTGGTGGTTTCCAGTTGTGCCATAAATGGTCATGGTGGAGGTGTCTGCATGTCCAGTGTTTAAGTATTCACCCCCACTCCCTTGTCCTGCCCTTTATTCTTCCCTCTGCTTTGTGACTTCTCTCGCTGTGCAGAGAGAGGGAGTGATGTCACAGAAGGAGGATCGGGCAGCAGGGAGAACTTAGCCTTAGCTCCGGATTACAGGTGTTTTATAAAACACTGTTTTTGGTTGGAGTAGCCATTTATAGTTAGGGTTTTCACCTTCTTTGAGATCAGCAGTATCAGAGATGTATTAAAGGTTGAACTTCATGACGTGTCTTTTTTTCAGCCTATATCATTATGTGACTATTTTCTTATCGTGAAAGAAGATAGATGTGATTGTAACACAGGCTTTCCCACTGAAATGCATGAGCAGGGCCGGTGCAAGGATTTTTGCCGCCCTAAGCAAAAAAATTGCCGCCCCCCCATATGTCCTGCCCACCATGTGACATCACAATGCCCCACCCATATGCTCTCTCATATGGGCCAACGCCAGTTCTGCGCACAGTGTCTTTTATCTGAAAAGACAGTGTGTTTACATTAAAAAGCCTACAGGAACAGACTACTATAGACACCAGAACTACTACATTAAGATGTAGTGCTTCTGGTGATTATAGTATCAATTTAATGTGAGGTAAATTAGAGATTAGTGCCACTAATAATATACTGGATTGCCTACTTACCACCAGAGGCTGATGATGGGCTCTGTCTGGCTCCACAGGTTTGGTATAGAAGAGGCTCTCTGGAGACTGTTTGTAACACTGCTCACAACAATTAATGAACAGGAAGCAGCTCCACATAAGAGATGCATTTTGTTTCTGTGTGTATGAGAATCAGTGTGTGCGCATTCGGGATGCATTGTGTGTTTTGGTGTGTCTGTGTGTGAGTAGGGATGCATTGTATGTTTTTGTGTATGTGTGTGGGGATGCATTGTGTAGTGTAAAATAGAGGGTTTGTGGGGTAGGATAGGGACTGAGAGGGGATCAGCTCTTTATTTTTTTTAAACAAAAATTATAGTGCTCTCCCCTCCTGTCAATTAGTGATCTCCCTTTCCCTCCTGTCCCTCAGTTTTCTCCCCCTCCTGTCCCTTAGTGCTCTCCCTTGGCCCCCAGTCTCTCTGCAATCCCCCCTAAGTGGTCTTCTCACTCCCACCTCTCCCAAACATCTTAGTGGTCCTTCCCCTCCTTATCCCCCTTTGGTGGTCCTTACCCTCTTTCCCCTTCCTCCCCTTAGAGGTCTTTACCCTCTCCCCTTAGTCGTCCTCCCTTTCCCCCCTCTCCCAAACCCCTTAGTGGTCCTCCCTCCCCCTGAGTGGTCCTTCCCATGCTTACACCCATTTTGGTGGTACTTCCCCTCCTTTCCCTATCCCCTTTGGTGGTCCTTACCCTCTTCCCCCTATCCCCCATTGGTCCTTAGCCCCCCCCTCAGTGGTCCATACCCTCTTCCCACCCAGTGATACTTCCCCTCCTTAACCCCCCTTTGGTGGTACTTCCCCTCCTTAATCCCCCTTAGTGGTCCTTACCCTCTTCCCTCCCTTAGTGGTCCTTACCCCCTCTCTCAGTGGTCCTTACCCTCTTCCCCCCTTAGTGGTCCTTCCCCTCCTTATGTCTCCCCTTTGGTGATCCTTCCCCTCTTCCCCCCTTGGTGGTCTTCCCTCCCTTTTGTGCCTCCTACCTATGTAACGTGGCCGGGCGGCATGGACCGCAGTACAGGAGCTTCTGTTTCCTGTACCCAGTTGCTGGCGGACTGACAGGAAGTGCTCACAGGAACTTCTGTTTCCTGTACCCGGCCGCCGGCGGACTAAAGGGAAGCACTCACTGGGTGAGCACTTCCTGTCAGTCCGCCGGCGGCCGGGTACAGGAAACAGAAGCTCCTGTACTGCGCTCCGTGCTTCCCGGCCACACTACATTGAGTGAGCGGCAGGAGGGAGCGCTGTGCGCTTCCCTCCTGCCGGTCACTCAAATCTGGCTTCCCCGAGCCGGTGTGCCCTAGCTGACTGCCTAAGTCGCCTATAGGACACTCTGGCCCTGTGCTTGAGGATGTCTGTCTCAAGTAGCCATGTGTGCCCAAAGCATACAAGTACTTGTACTGGCAGAAGAGGTCTAACCTTCTCTTTTGATATACTTGAGTAGAGAAGTGAGCTTAAAACTGCACAATTTTTTTCTTTTAATTTGATGCAACTATTATCTTACCCGTGCAGAGAAAAACGGAGATAAGAGACGTCATTCTGCCATAAATTATTCACGGAGCACATTTGTTAAATAAGTTGTTATAGTGCTTGGAGCATCTCTTGAAGAAAAATCTCGGAAAGCTTAATTTTATTATGTTTAATGCAGCGGTTATAGCATTGATTATCTTGTGTATCTAATGTCAACACTCCGGATGTTTCTGAATAACCTAACCCACCATCGTTTCCCAGCCAGTAACATCCAAACGTTCTCACACGTTTGCAGTATTTTACCAATATCGGATTAAAGTCCCTTCATTTGTTGTGCTTTTCTTCAGTGTTAATTATAAGGTCCAACATATTGTAAGTAGGTGGCTGCTCTGATCTGAGAATATTTATTATTCTTCATATTTATCTTTGTATTTCAACAAGTCGTCTCTAATAATTGCCCTCTTTACAGGAAATAAAAACTAGCTCGCTAAAGGCATCTTGTGATCCATATCAATTTCACAACATGTATCACTCAAAATATAGCTCTTTAGTTAACGTTAATTGTATTGGCTGTAGATTTCCTGGTTTTGTACGGAAGATTCTCCTGTATCTTATTTCAAGCAGTCGCTATCTCTTTGCTGGGTGCTCAGTTTAAAGACAATAGTTTGGGTGGAGGCTGTGGGAATCTGGGAAAGGAGAAAATAAAGTGATACAATCTTAAGTGTTTAACCGTCAGGTAGGATTCCTCAAAGCTACTCTGTCTCCAGCCTACTTCTGCACAATCAAAGGATGTTTGGGGCACTTTAAACGTTAAACATGTCCCCACTGGGAAAGCCAGGAGAAGTGGCACAGACAGATTTGTTAGGGATGAAGATATATAGAGGAAGGAGGAGATTGTTTACACTTCTCAAACAACACATTAGAAATGGCATTAATTCTCTAACTCCAGTCTAGAATGCCTTAACGGTGATTCATGGGATGGTTACAAAGCTAGTTAAGGACTGTCACTCTGCTACCAGAACTGCTGCAGGTCCCACAGATGACAGTGTTACACGATACGAGATGAAAGGCGATGGATACACCAAAGCTGATCTGCAGGGCCTCGCTATAATCACTTGAATCTATGCTTATTATCCATATCTAGTTACTGAACCAGGCAAGATCCCATGTAGAGTCAACTAATTGATCATCTTTATACACAAACTGTGAGGTCCCCGTCCCTCAAGCAACACTCACTATAGTGACATTTATTTTATTTTTCTATTTGGTTTTTACTGACATTATAGCTTGCACAACTAATTTATCACTATACGTGTCTTAATTTCTTTGTTGACAGAAAAGTATTGTAATAAATGGTCGGTCACTGTCTATGAATGTTGACAAGCAGGATATTTTGTAGAACATTTTTAGTAATGCCACAGTAAAGCCGTACCTTAACCACTCATAGGGGATGAAATATATGTTCCAGCCCACACTGGGTTTTTTCATCATCATTATTATTATTATTATTGGTATTTATATAGCGCCAACTAATTCCTCAGTGCTTTGCAATATTATGAAAGGGGGGCGGGGGCATGAATTTACAATAAATGAGACAATTACACAGTGACACAGGAACAAACGAGCCTACAGTCTAGAGGGCATTAAAAATGGAAATTCTGAAGAACTGACAATGGAATTGCAACAAACTTAACAAGACCAGAGTGACACAAAAAAAAAAACACACTCCTACTTGATCACGAAGCATGAAGACAATTTTGGGACTAATTTGGACATTTGGACAGTTGGATAAGCATTGGGAGCAAGAACAGACATGTGCCCTAACATGTTTTCATAGTCATCTTAAAGATCTTGTTTAAAACATGTTAGTGTACCAGAGCTGGATTAAGGTTGCCCAAGGCCATAGGCACGGTGCCAGATTTGGGCCCCCTCCTAGAGCCCTGGGCTCTGTTTTTGTGAGTGTTGTGTTCTTGAGTGAGTATTGTGTGTGCGACCGTGTGTAGTGGATGAGTGTTCTATTTGTGGAGGATGCTGAGTACTGTATTGGGGGCTGGGTGTATCTGTGTGTTTTGTGTGTGTGTGTGTGTGTTGCTTGAATTGTGTGTATGTGTAGGGGAGTCTGAGTGTTGTGCATATGTTTTTCATCCCCGCTTACTTTCCCTGGTGGTCTAATGGAGGGTGACCTGGATCCCTGGTAATCGAGTCAAGGTTGAGCTGGATCCCTGGTAATCGAGTGGAGGGTTAGCTGGATCCCTGGTAATCGAGTTGAGTTTGAGCTGGATCCCTGGTAATCAAGTGGAGGGTGAGTTGGATCCCTGGTAATCGAGTGGAGGGTTAGTTGGATCCCTGGTAATCGAGTAGAGGGTGAGCTGGATCCCTGGTAATCGAGTGGAGGGTGAGTTGGATCCCTGGTAATCGAGTGGAGGTTGAGCTGGATCCCTGTTAATTGAGTGGAGGGTGAGCTGGATCCCTGGTAATCGAGTGGAGGGTTAGCTGGATCCCTGGTAATCGAGTGAAGGTTTAGCTGGATCCCTGTTAATCAAGTGAAGGTTGAGCTGGATCCCTGGTAATCGAGTGGAGGGTTAACTGGTTCCCTGGTAATCGAGTGGAGGGTGAGTTGGATCCCTGGTAATCGAGTAAAGGTTTAGCTGGATCCCTGTTAATTGATTGAAGGTTGAGCTGGATCCCTGGTAATTGAGTGGAGGGTGAGCTGGATCCCTGGTAATCGAGTGGAAGGTGAGCGGGATCCCTGGTTCAATGGGGAGCTCCATCGTCTGTACCAGTATCATGTACCCTCACAGTTCCGTCTCTCAGTCACTGACTCAGAACGCACGCTTTGGTGTTCTGAGTCATTGAGAAGGGCTGGGGGGACCACAATGTCACTCTTAAAATTGTCTTTACCTGATATTTGTACAGCAGGGGCTCGGGGCCCATTGGGTTTGAGCCCAAGTCCTAGGCATCCGCCTTGGTTGCCTAATGGGTAGTCGAGCTCTGTAGTGCAGATACATGGCATGGCTCCTCAACTTGTTCTCCATTTCAATGCATTTTGTACAGTGGTTTCAAAGGTAAAGATTTGATTGTGAGATCTTTATTTAGTGTCTCAGTTGGACTCCAGATTTGCTTCTTCTTGTCTGGAATAAAGCTCTCTCTAAATCAGAGACATTTGCTGGAAATGTTGTATAGTATACCCAGTCTTTGCGTTTTTTTGGCCAGGGTACCTGAAATGGGTGATTTAGGGTGAATTTTAGAATCTCCACAATTCTCACAGGGTTTTTCACTAAAATTAGAATTCAAAGTGAATTTCAAATTCAAGGCCAAAGTACCCAAACTAGAAGCATTGATGACTGTTTTGGCTTTTTTTTTGTCTGGTTTGGCTATTCAGTCTTGGCATTGGACCATGAGGTACAGGGGCCAGGAAGGTAAAACCAGAAACCGTCACAGAAAATTGAGTCACTGCAAACATTGAAAGTGCCAGATCCTTGGTTAGAAATTAATTCTTCACAGAAAATAAATATTTAAAGGGACTTACGCCTCTTAATGAAGATGTACACAATATGGAAAACCATTGAACTACTCAACAAAATAATTCTTCACTCAAATATATCTGCATAAGTATCAGTAGTATGTATGCGTTATTCAATTAAATGAAGAACTTTAGCTCAATGAAGCAGTTTTGGTGTACAGATCACTCGCTTGCAGTCTCATTGCTCAATTCTCTGCCATTTAGGAGATAAATCAATTTTGTTTCTGTTTATACAGTCTTAGCCACACCTCCTCTGGCTGAGACGTACACAGCCAACATGGAAATAATTGTTTCATTTTCAATCAGCTATTACAGGACAGAGTGTTTATTTTAGAAGGTCTTACACTGTTAATTGAACTCGAATCACACAAATGAGGCTTTGCAGGCTCTAGCAGGCAGTTAACTGAGCAGGAGATTGGAAGTGTTAGGTTAAAGTGGCAATGTCTCCCCTGCCAACCCCTATCCCGCAAAAGGAGTATTTCATAAAGATAAAATCTTTTGTGAAATAAACACATCGACTGTGTTGGAATTTCACAGAAATAGAGGAGCATTGAAACTAATTATGCATTCAAGCTTCTCCATAGGGAAGCATCAAATGCAATGCTTTCCTATGGCTTATACATCATGTGACTGAGTTTTAATAGGTCTTTGCATCGGAAGCGTCTTTAGTAATAAGTTTGTTTACTTGTATAATTTGATCTGTGGAATCAGATGTCTCCCACCTCTTACACTTTCTCCATGGAGTTTTTTTTTTCTAAATATTTACTGAAAATAGGTTTTAACCCAAATGCCCCCTTCCAGACATACTTAGCATGCTCAATCAGGATACCACATTTACCAGTTGGCTTTGCATTGGGCCATTACATCCTGGACTCCCTAAAGGAAAGGCCTACACATTGTTCTGTCTTCTGGGGCTGTCATTAGCTAGCAAAATCAGGGGGTGGAGTGAAACTACTTTAAAGTGGTTGTGGTTTCCCACATACTTGTTTTTAGAAACTCATAGCGACAGGAGTTGAGTAAGTAAATAAAATAGACAGAATCACATTCCAGGGGTACAGTCAACCCAACCCCATCCTTAAAGATCACCAGCTACCACTGCTTATGTCCTCCAAGCTATTTGGCCAAGGATGATGGGACTAGTTCATTACTCTATAACAGACATTGATGTGATGTGCAGTCGTGAGGAATTGGCCTCTTAGAAATCACCTAAAAGGCGTGTTTTTACTTTTTGCAATGAAACAGCATTACACTATACATTATAATGATATTAAATATCAAATTGTTATATTTTTTTAATAATGAACAAATTACACTAAGACCTATTATGTATTACTGTATCAATAAAATAACCAATATAATGATTTACTGATAAATAGTGTTATTTATTATTTTACAAATGTTTTAGTGATTTCTTTTCAAAATTCCCAAAGTAAAAAATTCTAGTTTTAAACAAAAAATAGCTCAACTGTAAAAAGTGGTGTATTGGAGCTTTTTTGGGGGGGCTTAAATGTGCAATTTCCTTGTTGATTCAACACAACCCTTAGATTAATGACTGAACTCCTATAGACACTTAGTTGTATTACAAGTAATTTATGGGTCAAAGTATGTGTATCAAGTATAACAAACCAGGGCAATATATAACATACATTAACTGTGTACTATAACATGTTTTAGGTTCAAATATGGTTTGTTTTGAGCATCTTCTAATGAGACATCAACACATTTATATACTTCCTTATACAGTCCACATAAATGTAACAATATCCCATTAATATCTGCAATAGATCTCCTAGCTTACACCAACCATGGTGTTACATTGAACCTCAATTATTAATTGTTAATTATCTCCGCCATTTAATAGTGATTTAAAAACTGTGTTATACTTTCAGTAACAGTCTGAATATGTTAACATATATTTTATTTATATATATATATTATTTTTATTTATGTTTTCATTATTTTACAACTTTACATCTAAGGTCATTTATTACAAGCGTATATATAGAATTTATTTAAAAATTTATATAAAAAAAATTAACTCCACCTTTACTAAGGGAAAATGGGGCAATTTTAAAGCAAAGTGTTAAACATTGAAGAAATCTGAAGAAAATGGCTATAGTTTCCAGTGGTGATCAATAATTAGACTTTTGCCCAAAACCCTGCTCTAGGTTTGTCTTGAAAAATAGTGTCCAAAGTTTCCTATTAATAAAATAATGTGATGCATAAAATACCTTGTGTATGATAAAAAATGTAAAATTAAGAATTGTGCTAATTAAAATTAGAAACACTTCATCACAGATGTTTTAATTCACTGAACTGAGAACTGATAAGGGAACTTATGTTCAGGCCAAAATAACTGAAAAAAAATGATCCTCGTTGCATCGATTAATCCAGATCAGCTGTTCTGGCCTAAATGTTGTAATTCCCTGATCATAATTCCCAATTTAGTGGATACACATGGGAAGATTGACGGATACAGTGTGAGTCTTCAAACAGCAACTTTATGTAAACTGTTTGAAATATCCCTATGTTTGTCGAGCAGTTCTAAGTGTAAAGTGGATGTTACAGAAATGTATGATTGCCCTATAAGAATATATCTCATTTCAAACACACTGTAGACACTGTAAAACGGATATTAAAGATTCAATTTTATTATCCTAGATCGCATTGTTACTTTTAAATCCTAATATTTTTGTCCCTTTAAAGATTATTATGAATTCATAATTCCATGTTTAAAAATATTGACAATATTTAACAAACTGTACACTTTAGACAACATACTCACAAATTCATTTGGTTTGGTTAAAAAAAATAATAATAATAATAATTTAATATTTAAAACTTTTAACAATTCATTTTCTTTTTTTAATAATAACCGTCTGCAACCCCAAACCACAACATCCCAAATAATTGTTTGTTTATTTAACAGTCTGATGTCTGGATTCATTTATTCAGCGACGTTTTCCAATTAGATTTTCTCCTTAAACCTATTTTGATTTTGCAAACGATTTTGCTTTCACAGCTTGTTACAAAATGACATTTAAATGTCACAATGCCATATCAATATCTTCCTGTATAGAAAAGTTTTTAAATGCAGATCTGACACCTGTCACATGGTGTGAGATACATTTTACACACGTCAGGAACCACAACAGATTTATTAACCCCTACTACTGTTTTCTACTGTGTACGGGTCGCATTCACTAAATAGCGAGCTGGAATGACACAACATTTGGCTAAAAAAAAACAAACAAACACTATTTTATGTCAGTTTTTACCACACCACATCTCGCAGCTTAGTGAATAGACACCCAATAATATCTGACGGTATTTATTTGGTCTGTGGCAAGTTAGTTATTTCTAACTATGGTACTGCGGGTGTTGGTGAACTACGTTTCCCTGGATGCTTAGCAAACCTTCTGCTTAACCTGTTCACACCTAAACTGTGTCTATATTGTCTAAATTAGGGATCATTAGATATTGCCATTTTCTAGGAATACGTTTGTGAAGGTGCAATATTTGCAGATAAAAATAAAAACATATGCTTTTTGCCAAATACAGTGGTAACAAAAGAGAAGTGTGTTTTTTATGCCCAGAATATTAAAAAAAAAAATGGGCCTTGTCTGCACAGAAAAACGTTGGGGCTCAGACTGCAAAATACTTCATAGATTTCTATTTCCATTTAGCAGCCCAGGGGTTAAATCTATGCAGATTGTATCTAAATTCTGTTAACGTTCTATGAACGTTCTATTTGTAAACAGCAGCTACGAAGGTTCCATAGGAGAATACATTGTGTCACACACAGGGAGGAGAAGCCCAGCTCAGTGCCTGGACCTGGTGGTGGCACAGACTGTGACCTTTTTATGTGGGTCCTTCTGTCCCTGTCCCTTCCCCCTCTGTCCCAGAGAATTGCAAGACATGTTGCAATAATGACCTGCATTGAAGCTGCCCGCCTCCTGCTGAATGGCTGAGTTCGTACTCTCCATGTCAGAAAACTCTCTCTAATCAGCCTCACCACCCCTTTCTCTCTCCCAGCCTTCTCTCTGCACTCCAAGAATAGGGAACAAACTAAACACATTATCCATCCCTCTTGTAACCAGAATGCTTAATAATAACCTCGGTTTGGGAATCAATGGGGGATATAGAGGAACGTCAATCTCAGCTTCTTTGGGGGTTTTTGTTACTGCTAAGGAGCTAGCCTACCCAGCACACACCTTTTGTTCCTGGATCCAATAAAAAGCTATTCTTTCTTACCTTATACCAGCTCAGGCAATTCCTTTCACCACAGCCTGGGTCCTACAATTGTGATAGATTTCCATTCACACTCCCTGGCATACTAACAATCAGGACTGAGTGTGGCAGGTTTGCACTTTCCAAATAGCCCCTGGAAGACATTTTACTAAATGACAAGGGACACACAAAACCAGAGCTGTCGAGTGGTTGGAGAGAAGGGTGTGGGGGTGATGCAGGATTCAATTAAAAAAAAAAAATACAAGTAAAGTTTAAAAAAATAAAATCTGCATAGTAAATGGTAATGCCTTGTACAGTAATATGTTTGTTAATCTACAATATATGCATTAAGACAGATATTTGCATGGTGTGTCCAGCTCACAGAATAATACTAGAATATATCACAAATATTGCATGGCTGATATGTAAATACACAGCTATATAATAAATACAATGGCACAATGCAGTGTCAGCATTGGGCTTATATAATATAGCAAATATATTACATGAATGTTATTTTATTTAAGTTAAATGGTCCCCGTGATTCTTGGTTAGACATATCTTGTTGGATGTTATAGATTTACGTTTCAGGTGCCCTAGCTCTCCTCAGTGCAGAACTCCTGATGAAGGTATCCCTGGTGAGTGAAACGTTGACATTTTTCAATGGGGATATACTGAATATTTCTGAGTGTATATATATGACAAAATGTGTATGCGTGATTGTTTGTGGAAACACAACTACAATGTTATATATAGACAAGTGTACGCAGATAATTGTGAAATAAAAAAAGTTCTTTGTTTGCAAAAAAAATATACAAATACAGCAAAATCTTAGTTTAATGCTTCAAAAAATATATATAATTACTATACATGATATTCTAGAGGATCGAACACAGTTTGATTTGTGTTTTTATAAAATAGTCACGACCGAATGAAAGTGGAAATATTGCACCTCAGTTTTTATTCAATTCTAGTGCATTTTAAACGTGTATTTTATACATACAAAAACTCCCCTGCCCCGTGTATGATATAGTAACAGTCACAGGTGCTATTTACAATAATAATAATTATAATAATAATTTTAAAATTGATGTGTTTTTTTTATTTTTTTTTATTTTATTTATTTATTTTTGTACAATGAGTTCTTGTTCTTCTGACTCCTTGCTGAGAGGGCAGACTAAATCTTAAATAGGGAATTGCTGAGTAAATATATTAAAAAGTCATTTAAAATGTTCTTATAAATGAGCTATGATTTGTAAGTACAAGGATGGGACAGTTTTAGTTTGGGAAGGGTACTTTAAGGCCCAAATGAGGGATAGCCTAGGACAGGGAATTCTGGGAGTGATCATATTGTGGGTACAAGTAAGGGAGACACTTTATTGTGATACAATGTAGCAATGACAGGGAGTTTAAGGGGTGTCAGAATTATTAACCCTTTATCTGAAAACTATCATGTTAGATGTATGAATTGCTTAACGCTTCTAGTGCTGGAGTGAGAGGTTATTTGGTTCTCAAAGGGTTAAATGCACACAAACATGAGGTTAAACATCTCCAGAAACAAATAGAAATATATAAGCTTGCAAGAATCCCTCTCCCTGTGTGTCTGTCTGCATATATCCACCTCCATTACAGATATTGGCATTACACAATGTCCCCTTTGAGTTTTTAACTGAACTGCAGATTTATGAAATATCTCTGAAGAATCAAATGATGATCAGATGGAATTAACACTTTCGATTCTACAGAGGAGAAGATAATTGATACAGTGTTTAATTCAATGGTTTATGTTGTCCCTCGATGCCTTTACATGATTGATTATGGCATGAACACGTTAGATAAATGAGTTTATTACATTGTATGTTAATGATAGAATATTACATGTATTGGACATTTGGGACCATTTAGATCCATCTAACCCATTGTAGTAAATGTGTCACAGTGACATCGACTGGGAACATAGTGACAATGCTTAATATATAATCCTATTTCAATTTAGTTAAGTGTTTTTTAATTCAAGAAAGTTAATATTTGACGCTTTTGTTTTGAGTTTCTATTTTTAACATTTGCATTTCTTTAGGTAATTATTTTTTCTATTGCCATGCTAATGCTATTGTTATGGTCCAGGGGGGAAATATTATCTACAATGAAGGATTATTCGGTGAATTTCAAATTTGAGACCAATGAAGCCGAACTGTGCGCAGACATAACTTAGATACATTTTCCGGTTGAGCTATTTTGGCCTTGAATTTTAAATCCAGGTTGTGTCCTCCCTTCAGTAAATAACCCTGATTATATGTCTGTGTGTCTGTGTAATAAAATGCCCCAGTTCCTATTTAAAATGTATATTAATAATGGTTTATATGTGCATACAGACTTTGTATATATATTTCTATATAAATACCATTGACTAGTATATTGAATCCATCTGCCACCTCAGCAGCTGTCGAATTCCACTCACATCATGCAAATCTAGAGCGTGATTGGAGTTGTAGTCCACTGCTGCTTGGTGCACAGAGGCTTTCTCCACTTGCTTGGTTGGCTGTTTACTTAGCACAGAGTATACTGTGGGTAATACCTTAGTGTGTCTCATTCCTTATCTTCCCAGATCTAGATTCACAGTGTCTGCACAGCAGAGAATCCATTGTTTATACACAGTCCACACTGTCCAGACAGGAGGAAATAGAAGCCCAACCTGTGGTAAAGTAGCTGCTGGACTTCAGCTCCCATCACTCTCGGTCCAGGCTTTCCTGAAGATGATGGTAGTTGCAGTCCATTCACAGCTGGAGAGTTACAAGTCTTCAGAAGTTTGCCCTGGAAGTGGACCTCAGATCTCCCCCCAGTGCAAGAATGCCTTTGTATTGATGGGTGAAGCCCACATTATGTCCTACCAGGCCCGAATCCCCTGTAAAGTCCCCTGGCAGGCTGGCATTGATGCCCCAGGGTGGCTCTGGTGCTGTGATGTGTTCCCATGTTGGCTTAAGGTGCCCATGTTCACAAAGGGGTTTGTTCCTGCGTTGTGCTGGATGGAGGGAAGTCCTGAATAAGTGCCGCTGTAGTTGGTGTTATAAGAAGGGCTGTTGCTGTAGCTGTAAGCTGGGTAATTGTTATAACCATAAGGACTGGCAGATACATTGTAGGCAGCATTGTAACTCTGAGTCCCACCAACACAAGGCTTGCCATCCCTGACCAGCACAGGGACTGCCACTCTTCTGGGAGGTGGTGGGTGGTGGGTCCCCATTTCCAAGGATTTATCCTGCCTCTGCCTTTTACACTTGTATCTCCTGTTTTGAAACCAGATTTTCACTTGGGTCGAGGTGAGTTTCAGACTGTTGGCGAGGTGCTCCCTCTCTGGGGCTGACAGATATCTCTGCTGTTTAAACCTCCTCTCCAACTCAAAGACCTGGGCTTGGGAGAAGAGGACTCTGGGCTTCCTGCGGCTCCTCTGCTTAGGCCTGTCTGTGTCCTCCTGTTTGTCATCATGATCTGGAGATTTCTTCATAAAGCAGGAGTCTGTGTATAGAATAAAAATCACAGACACTCACAGTAAGGCCCAGCAGACATGATACATTGTAAGCACACTCTCTGTGGATACACTGTTACTGTAAACATTGCTCACCTACAATCACTCTGTACAATGTAACAACAAAAAGAACACTTCCTCCTGACTTGGACTATGTGATGACTAACCATATCAAATTAAAGTACTCTTTTATTTATATTACGTATATGCTGTGTGTCTTTGCACTAAGTGTGTGTGTTTTATGTAAATGTAGTATATGTAAAATGTCTGCACACATACACACATTTTATACTAAGAATTACAGATGCTTAAATGTTTGTATATAGTCTTATATGATCTTTTTTAATTAAAACTATATTTAAAATTCCGAAATGACCCACACAGATAGCAGTTTCTTTCTCCCGTATTTTGAGATGAAATACATCCCACCACAGTAGCCCTGTATCTCTGTTACACACCGTGACTGAGATATTTACTAACATTCTGTCTGTTTACCATTTATGGCGTTCGATAACGTTACGATATTGCCTGGGCCGGCTTCTTCAGCATTAATTAGTAGTGTTATGGCCCTGGCGTAATTAAAGAGAGTTGTATATTTATTATTATTATTATTTTATTTATTTTTTTACTGATAATATTGGAAAAATAAACTAAACTAAATTTAACTGGTTGTTATCATTTGCACGACGTACAATACATGGAAATGTAAATTTTCTCCATAATTCATGATCAGTTTAACTCTAATCAGGTTCAGTGAAACCTCATGGCGTTACAATATTTTTTATTGCTGTAAACCATGATCACCTTATTTAACTAGGATCACATTCTGTGTAGCTCAGAATGCTTTATTGCAACATTAGGAAAATACGCTTTATGTTAAGCTTGGATTATTTTTAAATATAATCAGATTCTCTGTAGATGCATTTTAATTTGTAAGTCTTATTTATATACAGCTATACATACATACATACATAAAAATCTATATAAAGGGAGAGAGATCAATTTTTATTGTTACTGTTATTATTATTGCTATAATTGTTACTATTATTATTTATATTATTGTTGCTATTATTATTATTGCTGTTATTGTTACTAATATTGTTACTGTTATTGTTATTAATAATACTATTATTATTATTATACTTACTGTGACTATTGTCTGTTTGTAGTCCTCCTTCTTCGTCCACTTTTTCCTTAGCAGTGCAATTATCTCTGAGGGTTCCTTGGACAAATCTTTCAGGGGAGATTCCAACATCCCCAGGGCCCTCAGGGACTATAGAATCCAAATAAGAAAGTTTATCCTCCCCACCTGCAAAGGCAGAGCTCTCCCTGGCCAAAGGCATGCATTGAGAGAATTCAGGGGGGTCCAAGGCTTGAGCCAAGTGCCCTCTAAACTGCTGCTGGGGCTGGTGGTGCTGGGAGATGTGCTGCTGAGTCTGGTGGTCCCTCTTTAAAATGTCTTTGACAGAGAAAGGTGTGGAAGTGATTGGACTTGGTAGCATCATCAGAACAACTTAATTGCAAGAAGAAATAATCAATAAATCCTCAGGAAGGAGGAGTAGGCAGAGCTCCCCTCTGCTGGGAATGTCTCTCTCCTTGTGATGGTGAAAGGAGGTTTTTTTTTTTCTTATGATAAACGATGTAAAAAGTCCTGCTCCTGTCTAAATAGCCTCCATTACCCAGGGTCTGGTGGTCTGGGTTTTGTTACAGACAGAGCAAAGACTAACTGAAGGTTTGGCTACTGCCTGTTACACAGACCCCGCCCCCTTTGTGCCTATGACGTCATGGCTGGGTGGTTTAAAGGTCTCTTTCAGCCTGCCCTATCCTTAGGGAACATACTATGGGGACTTATCATTGGGCTTTTTTTTTTTAACAAGGAAAAAAAAAAAAAAAATGTAAAATACCTCCTCCCTCTGTCCCATTCACCGGAAGAAGCTTCTGTTGCTAGAAATAGAAAATCTATGAAGACAGGAAGAATCGTTTGGAGTTGTTTTTTTTGTGGAGATCCAGGCCTGCAGAATTAACCCTTTACTGGGCAGACAGGAGTGCCCTGGGGGATTTTAAACGAAGGAGCACAGACTCCAGAACAGATCACAGTGAAAATCAGTAGACTAGTGATTTCTAAAATATCTCACTTTTTATCTCAAGTTAAATTGTCAGCTTTAAGGACTCCTATAAATATACTTTAAATATCCTCTTCCACTAATTGAAATAAGAATAATTATTTTATCTTATAGAAAATAAAGATTTTTTTTTTTATTATTATGCAATTGGAGTTTTGGATTTTATTTTCAAACAAAAAGCAATACTATTGGTATATAAATAGTATATTTTGCTGCATGTCTTGGGTTATCCTGTGGTTAATTTATATTCAGAGATGGTGCCTATCTATAGATGTATGTGTCTTTGATATATATATTGATACAGTCATTAAATTCCTGGCATTGCAGATATATATTGTAAACTTTCCAGCAGTGAGGATGTTTGTATTTCGCTCAGTTATACCATTTGTTATGACTGACTCAGCATTACAGCCCTTGTGATAATGTATGTGGTTTGTTTCAAATTATTTTTTTATTAGGTTAAATGTACATCGCTCTATAAATCCACGATTTACCAATCTCAGCCACAATCCCACATCCAGAACAAATAGGCAGACAGACAGACAGACAGACAGACAGATAGATAGATAGATAGATAGATAGATAGATAGACAAACAGACATCATTAAAAACAATCCCTATAATTAATATTGATTTTACCAAACTCATGTAAAATGCTAATTATCGTATATCAAAATATTATACATAATTTTTACTACATGTCTCTATTTACACTAATCATGCTGTATATATAAATAAATAGAAGCTATATGAATGTATATGGAGATATAAATATTGGAGAAAATATATCTATATATAAGCAATACAATGAATGTGATACTATCTATAAAATTATTTCATGTCTATTCAATAAACAGCTACAGAAGGACCAGCTCGCACAATCTATTGAAACATCTTTAATCCAGGGTTGGATATGTTAACTCTGTTACTTTGTCCATAGATCTGGGGGGCAGATTTCAGTCCATCACAAACTTGCTGTTTAGTCAATAAATCCCACTCAAAGAATGCATCTCATAAGATTAGCTCTCACTCCTCTGGCCTCCAGCAAAGAAAGCGTTAATAGATAGAGCTGCTTACATTTTAGCAACTGTTTCCTTCATAATTATGTAATTAAGGATAGAGTTAAGTGGAGAGATCTGAATCTTAATTGCAAAGTACATATATTTCTGTGTATGCTCAGGTAATTACCTGGGAAGATAAGGCAGTGAGAGATAGGACAATGTTAGAAAGACTCTGACTGCTGGACTATCATGAGACATTGTTACAATGTTTATAATACGATTAAATAAAATAAAGTCACTTAGAATGTGTGAGGGTAGAGCTCAGCTTCCCCAGGAACACACAGTGATATTGTATCATTAAACAACGATACTTTGTTGTTATTATTATTATTATTATTATTATTATTATTATTATTATTATTATTATTATTGTCAGACTACACAAATGGATACAAAACCTGTGTTCACAATCATTTACTGTAGGATATATTATATTGCTAAGAGCAGGGGGTACATCACGAGAGTTGTCATCTTCACCTGAATGGGACTATCTCTTGTCAGTTCAGAAATGGGGAATATTTCTTACGATGATCAATCACTATTTAGACTCCTTTATAGTGACTGACAGTGATAACTGTAACACGTAGTCCATTAAAAACACAACACTTAGGGGAGAGATAATTATTAAATGGGGACTGTGATAATGTGACAAACAAAATGCAATAATTCATCACAAAACAGCAGAGATTAAAAAAAAACAACTGTATCATTATTATTAATTATTCACATAGCGCCAACATATTCCGCAGCTTTGTATAATTATAGAATGTGACATTGGCAACAGGTAATTAATATACAAACTATGAACAGAGACAAGGGGTGAAGGAGGCCCTAATCACACGAGCTAACTGTCCAACAGCTGGATATTTCTCCAAAACTCTATTATTTTCGCCTACAAAGGGTTAGTCAATTGTCCCTTATTGTATGTGTGTAACAATAACATAGATAGATAGATAGATAGATAGAAAAATAGATAGAAAGATAGATAGATAGATAAAAAGATAGATAGATAGATAGATAGATAGAAAAATAGATAGATAGATAGATAAAAAGATAGATAGATAGATAAATAGAAAAATAGATAGAAAGATAGATAGATAAAAAAAGATAGATAGATAGATAGATAAAAAGATAGAGAGATAGAGAGATAGATAGATAGATAACATGTTGTAATTGTCTTATTTGTTGATAAATGTCCTCTTTTTATAAAATTGTACAGAGCTGCGGAAATAGTTGGCGCTATATAAATACTTATAATAATAATAATAATAATAATAATAATAGAGATAGATAGATAGATAGATAATTCTGACTTGGTCATTACTAGCTGTGCAATGTGTTGATTGTCCTTACTGAGGTTAAACAGGTCTGTTATCTGACAAGTACAGACTGGTTACCAGGGGCTTTATTCCCCGAGTACAGACTGTTAGTGGAGCCAGGCAGTCCGAGCTGTGCTTTGCAAATTGTCACTGTTACCAGCGAACATACTGACAGGTGACAATTATTGCTTTAGCCTTTTCACTACTGTTGAGCACCAATGGCCAATTAGCATTCGTTTTACTTTTAATCCCACGTTTCACTAGTTAAATAAATCCCTTCCTTTTAAATCCGTGCATTTAACTGGAAGTAAGAGGGAGAACATCTTTGAACACACTTAGATCTGTTAAAAGGGGCATTTTCTTTCTAGAAGTGATTAGAACACATTACTGAATTACATTGTATCTAAACAGCCCTATGATTGGAGGATCCTGGGGGCTGATTCTATAGAAATATCACTATGGGCTGAATCTATACCATCACCAATCTCCCCATGATGAGTGCATTGTATGTCAGATACCAGCTACTCAAGCAGTAATTAAAATTCCAACATCCAATCTGACAGAATGCCCAGCAGATAAGATCTCAGTGTAAGTACAAGCTAGGCCTCTTTCCTGCTAGACCCCTGGACAGATCCTGGATGGTCACCCTTCCATCAGAGAGGAATCTAAGTGCAATTCTCTGACAATTGCACAGAGACCTCAGATAACCTAAATCCCAGCTTCCTCCACAATGCTATTTATAGAGGTGTCCAAAATACAAGAAGAAAGGCTTTGCTGAACATAGAGTTACATATACACTATTAATACATCCATAGATCAGTTTAATGTACTGATAAATCACATGCCTACGGGGTGTATAACCTAAATAGGAAACTGAGTGGGTTGTTAATGGCAATATTTCAAGTTAAAATAAGAGGAAAAACTCCAAACTGACTATTTTGGTCTAAATATTCACAGGTTAATTATTCCCCTTCCCACAAGCACACAATTGGCAGTTAAGTGAATGAAAGTCCCTGAAGAGAGATACAGAGACAATCCATATCTTATTTTATACGAGAAATTCATCACTCACACTCACACTGATACTGATTGTATTTAAGTGCCAGGCAAGTTTAGAACAGACAACCTTGCGAATATTTCAACTCTCTTCATCAGAATTTACCAGAGACTGTAGAAACTGTTTTTCTATAATTCTGATCAATTACAGAAAAAAACAATAAGCACAGCTATTTTATAAAAAGCATATCTTTAATATTATTTATACATAATTCTACATTGTCATTGTCACATCCTGTAATCCCCAGGCAGGCAGAGCCAGTGACTGACATTGTACAGTTATAGATGTGTATATTCATAATGGATATATAATGCTATCAATAAATGCTTCCACAGTGAGTGATGGGTTTATAAAGGTTGCAGGATCCCACCCAGACTGCATCTGAGATCAGCAAGGGATGGATAAAGGGATTCTGTACTGTAATAAAAGCTTAAACAAACATTGCCACACCTGTGCTCTGAAACGTTCTCTTCTATAGATTGTCAGCTCCTGGGAACCTGCTCGTAAAAATAATAAAAATAGATATAAATAATGTCTGCTTTTCTAGCTCCATATAAAACGACTGCTCTCGGCCCTCTGTAAGAATTCTAGGCATCTGACTCACAGAGCGTGTCTGTGGATGATGAGAGTTGTAGTTAAATATTTGGGTGGCACTAGATTCGCCATTCCTACCTGCTGCTGGAAGCCTTGCCCTGCCCTGGGAGGGATCACGTGGCACACACAGGTAAAGGTGAGTGAATGGAGGGGTCTCCCCTGTGCCCCCTGTTATTATGTTTTTGTGCTGTGTCCCCAGTTAGTGCAGTGAAAGCAGACTGTGCACATTCATACAGGAAAGGCTTGTGGGAATAATGTGCTGCTTAGTGATAGTGAGAGCTAGATATAAGGGATCTGTTTGAAGGAGTTATCGCTCCCTGTTGCATGGCATTATTGGAAGAACTCTGT